AAATTCCATTTTTCAACCAAAAAATAATATTTTTAAACTTATTTTCGGAGAATTCATTTAAAAAGAATATATTATATTATTAATAATAATTATTATATTATTATATTATTATTATATTATTATTATATTATTATATTATTATATTATTATTATACTATTATTATTTCATTATTGGAAGTGAAAGGTGAGTTGAAAGCATGTACCAGGGTGTGTTTGGGTCTTGCTAATTAGAATGTCAGGGCGCACTTGTTTATTTATCTTGAGCAAGGTGTGTGCATCATATGAATAAGATACTGTTTCCATTTAATACCAACATAGTGTACTAAATACCTTACTAACATTTCCTAATCTACTATTTAGATAAACTCTAGCTTTATTTAGAATTATTTATATTGCTTGTTACCGTATGTATAGGAGATAAGGGGGTGCTGGATTGATAAAACACCTCAAAATCTTATTGGCAAATATGATATATATTATTTATAAACACATTTTGTTGGAAAATATTATAACTGTTCTAAAATTTACTCAGATTCTATGCCTATGGTGTTACCACTAATGTAATGGAGCTTGTAATGAAGCTCAATTTCAGCTACCTCTAATTACTTATAATCTGAAATTGTAAGGTGTAATCTGAAGTACTGGAAAAGCTGAAATTGAGCCTCTGACGACAAGCCACCTATTGCTTACTTATTGATCTTTAATGAGAATAATCTTATTTAAAAACAGAAGTGTCATTCTCTAGCTTTTCATCTTATTATATATTGAAATGTGAAGAAACTTGTGGTTGCCAGTCTTCATTAGCTCAATTAGGTTACAGAAAAGTAGGACGTAAAACTCCATTCATTTCATTTCATTTCAATTAAAAAAATTGTTATGTAGATATAAGCCTCAGATTTCATCACAAAAACCATCTATTTTGATATCAAGGCCAGATTTTAATGAGTCTTGAAAGATGTTAGTGATATTGATTTTATAATTCCTGAAAATAATTCCACCTTCATTCCATTATCTCCTTGATGAAGGTCAAAGTCTATGATGTTAATCTAACAGAATTATAAAAGAGCCAGATAAAATTTCCAATAAATTTAAGTGAATAATAGAACATTTTCTGGTTGCTGGGATAGTTTTCTAGATTTATCATGAAATTTAGAAATTTAGAAATTTATTCTAAAAATATTGCGTAACTCCGAGTTCATTTTATTATCTTATTTAACAGCTTCAGTTCTGTCTGCTGTAAGATTTATGTTAACTTTGAAAAATGGATATTTGGTATATTTTGGGACAAATTGAGAACACTAAAGCTATTTGTTCGATCTCTATGTTATCTTTTAATTACGTTGGTTTCATAGATTCTTTCAGGTTATTTCTTTGTAGGTGTTCTTTTAGTAGAGAGCCCATATTAACTATACAAATTGTAGATCATTGTAAACTTTAATATTTCTTAAAGATGGGTTTCCTCATTTTTTAGTGTTAAATTATGCAAACTATTTAATTAATTGATGTTTCTAATGAATTATCATGTATTCTTAATCATATCATTTTGTTCTTATTGCATATAATTAAGAGTTTTAACCAATCATAAATGTCCGTATGTACAGTCTGGATAATCATACTTTTTTGATCGGTCACTCATTGGAATTCTGCTTGTAATTCTCTTCTAATTTAACTAATTATGAATTGATTATGGACATATGAGACAAACTGGTATTTTTCCAAGTCATAAGAACACCTCTACTTTCTATTCATATAAGTATTAGCATTTTCATGTTCATAAATGAAAATAAGGGAACCCATGTTTTAATAAACTGATAGACCTCTGTTTCAGCTAAATGTAGAGATGAATAGTTTATAAAAATATGGAAAGAGGTGACAAGAACCTTATTACTCTAAATCCAATTAATAAGACAGGTTTGCTTCCACTCTTCAATTGGGTTTATCAACTTTCTATCCTTTTTGGAAAATTCACGTGTCTAACAATTTTGGCTTATCAACATGACATTATTCTCCACAAATGGATTCCACAATGGAGCTATTAATGTTAATGTGAAATAATGAAATGATTATCTCAGAAATTGTATAAAATCTAAAATATATATTACAAATTCTTGTCATTATTACGCTAATAACCCACGTGAATTAATGTAAGCAATATCTATCCATCTATCAGGAGAAGAATTCAAATGTCCTCTTTCAATATAACCCCACTGTAATCAATGATCAATGACTACATACTAATGGCTTTATATTGGAACAAGAAACCAAGACTTTAATTCTCCACTAATGTCAGGAATCGATAAAAGACAAAATAATTGATCAGCTATCAAGTTTTGACAGATCTATTCTGGTTCCAGGAACCATTCTGAATTCGTGCCAAATTACTGCTGTAGTGAATAATTCAGGAGGATCCTTGAAGATTCAAAAACTTTTCCTTACGGCTGAGTATTCTTGAAACGATCTTCTAAGCACTAGGATGTCCCAAGGGTCTTAACTTCTAACACTGTTTCTAGGATATCCTAGCTCTAAGATCTTTTGAGAATACATAGTTGGTAACAACTGTAGCATGGTGTTACTGTAGTTTATATTAGTTAAGAGTGTTATATTACTAATAATACTGTCAATAATCAAACTAGTATAGTTATTACCAAGCATTATAATGTAATCAACTGTGGTATATCAGACCTGGGATATTGGTATATTGATAATAACATAGTATGGGTTCAATATAACATGATATTGGGATGATAGCATGGTGTTACTGTAGTTTATACTAGTTAAGAGTGTTATATTACTAATAATACTGTCAATAATCAACCTATTATAGTTATTACCCAGCATTATAATGTAATCAACTGTGGTATATCAGACCTGGGATATTGTTATATTGATAATAACATAGTATGGGTTCAATATAACATGATATAGGGATGATAGCATGGTGTTACTGTAGTTTATATTATTTAGAGTGTTATATTACTAATAATACTGTCAATTATCAACCTATTATAGTTATTACCAAGCATTATAATGTAATCAACTGTGGTATATCAGACCTGGGATATTGTTATATTGATAATAACATAGTATGGGTTCAATATAACATGATATTGGGATGATAGCATGGTGTTACTGTAGTTTATATTAGTTAAGAGTGTTATATTACTAATAATACTGTCAATAATCAAACTAGTATAGTTATTACCAAGCATTATAATGTTATCAACTGTGGTATATCAGACCTGGGATATTGGTATATTGATAATAACATAGTATGGGTTCAATATAACATGATATTGGGATGATAGCATGGTGTTACTGTAGTTTATATTAGTTAAGAGTGTTATATTACTAATAATACTGTCAATAATCAACCTATTATAGTTATTACCCAGCATTGTTATTTAACTTATCAACTGTGGTATATCAGTATATTGAAATAGATTGTACTGTTTGTTAATAGACCATTTTTAATGATGTGTTTATGTGTAAATTGTTCACAATATTTTACAAGTATCAGGGAATAGAAATCTAAATCCATAACATATAAATATGACCAAATATATGTCTAATTTTGGTTTTAAATCAAGAATGGCCTCACCAGCTTTTAGAGTAGAATTCTGGGTTTGGATTGAAAATATTGTCGATCTGGTAATTCAACTTTAAAAACCACCTTAGAGATCATACTGTCTGAATGATTAAGACTGTTTAATTATTTATTAACATGTAATGAGATATTTTAAATCCTCTACTAACGAATTACATCATTCCCTACTAATTATATTAATTAACATATCATTACACCCTGTAAGCCTGGAAAAAATTATATGCTTTCTACTACAGCACATATTTCTAGCTTTTCAACATTTCACTTTAGCTTCAAGTAGAATTTAGCTCATTTCAAATTAAGAAATTTGCCTTGAATGTTTTTTGTGATTTTGGGTAAAATAATTTTTGATGTTGTGAAGTGTGAATATGGAGATTCTAGCAAACTAAAGACATACAGAATGTTGTTGAAAAGTTGTCTAATTTTTTCCAGGTTTCCAAAATCCAAAAGCCATGCATTATAGACACTATATATTTATTCATTCATTTTATAAGTACATGTGGGTTTCCTCCCTTTGTGGTAATACCCAACATTTGAAGCAATTAATTACATTTATATCAGTCAGGATTGCATATATCATTACATAACTAAAGCCAGCCTAAAATTAATTCATGGAAAAAGTAAAAAATCTTGTGCTCTATTATCAGTTTAATCGTGATTTTGATTTTCATTACATTTTTAAGTTAATGTAAAATTTGTTTATAGAAAGTTACAAGGACTGAGTCTGTTTACTAGGGCGTGATTTTGAATATAATTTTACATTACCCTAGAATTTTAAAAATTTAGCTCAGAATAATCCATTTGATCGTATATATCTGTATATTATTAATTTAATTTAAAATTCTGTCATTGAAAACTTTTGAAGTTGACATAAAAACTACTGACTGTTTGTATTTATTTTGACATTTCAGTCAAGTTAGACTCGTCTCAGTCAGTTACCTACATTAAATTATATCGCCTTATTTAGGGAAGTCATTCCTTTGTAAATATTGACAGAGGCATTATTTAGAATACTATTACATACTTAGTAAAATGTCAGAAATTTCCCGTCCCTCTGCCTGAATTACCTGCATGATTCACCCAAACATACACCTGACAAATTTGTTATAGGAATGATAGAATACTAATATACTTCGTAGTGTGATTTTGGAATGGAATTTGGCTGATTTAATATTCAATATTCAATACTCAATATTCAAATGTACAAGCGACAACAATTCAACAAATTGAAGCTGAAAATAAACAAATAAATATATATATTTTTTTTTTAGAATTTTTCAACTATTTAGCTCAAATTTTTTTGAATATTTAATTTTTCGTTGAAAGATAAATTTTATTTTTCTATAATTCATGTTTTATTGTCAAGTTTGCTTAAATCTCCATATTCTATTTGCAGAATGTAAGCCTGGATATTTCAAGCTAGGAGATGGGTGTGTAGCCCACTGTCCACAACATTATTTTGGCAGTGTTGAAGCTGTGCGATTAGTGTCCCCTAATCAGGCAAATCATTCTAGACCATTAGTTCGTACTCAGGGAATATGTGCTCCCTGTCACTCATCTTGCCTTACGTGTCGGCAGGCTCGCATGGAAGACTGTTTTCAATGTAGTGATGGATATGAAAGGAAAAATAACCTTTGTCAGAAAAAGATGATATGGGATTTTTTAGATCCAGATGTAATGAAACATTTAGCATGGGCAATAATATTGTGTATAGGGGCAATTATATTATTTAGTGTATTATTTGGATTATTACAAGCCAGAGATCATAGGAAATTATGTTGGAGTGCAAAACGTTTCTATATACCGGACCTTGCTAAAGGTCATTATAACGGAGTGTCAAGAACTAGTCACGATGACCCCGAGAATCTTAGTGAATCAGGAAGTTCGCGAAGCTCTGGAAGTGCACGGACAGTGAGTACGGATAGTCAGGAAAGAGTTTAATATTCAATTTGCTTTTTGTATAAATTAACACTGTTGATGCAATTCATTTAGAGCACATCTGTACATAAAGCATTTATTACAAGTGAAGTTTGCATGTGCATAGGCCTATTGAGTGATGTATATATGGAACATGTTGATACACCAAGATGGGCTTATTAAGGCGGAAATGATCAATTTGTCTCATACAGATTTTGGATCTATAATAACAGGAATATCAGTTGGGATGGATTAAAATGGATTAAAAAAATCTGTACAAGCAAAAACATTCCGTTAACCAAATATCTCATCCAAACCATGATAATATCAGGAGCAATAATTATTGTATAATAGTGGATTCCTAAAACGAGATGTACCATCAGGTGTTTTGGAAAGAGTAAGCATGGATATTACACTATTCTGATAGTGTAAATTACATAGGTTAAAGACAGATCAATTTGATCTATTTATCATCATGCACATGCAAACTTCACTTTGACCTCACATTGCTTTCATCTCATTATATTATACAATACTCCTTATTTTCTAGCCAGGTTCCAGTTTAACTTATTATTTTCTCTATGTCCCATTATTATTATTTCTTTTATTTGTTTTGTTGACTGCATGCTAACTGTATCAAGCTTAAGTTGCTGCCAAAATGAAACACAGTAAAATAGTTATTGATCTGATTTTCACTGCTCAGTGTTTGGTGAATATTGATTGATATTGGCCCACTTCCTAGCCTATTATTTCCTTGTTTTTAAATTAATTAAATTGTATTATACTGTTTCCTTATACCCAAAGTGCCATTTTGTAATATTGCACTTCGTTTGACTATCATGAATGGATATATTGCTAGGGCTTACGGTGTTTCTGCCGGCTTGTGTGATATATGTAATTATATTTATCATTTTACTTGGAAAGAACAAACAGAATGCAGACTTGGCAATGATTGTATAAATTCTAATGAACTGTATTTATAAGATATAAATGGCATGTCAAGGTTCTGTATTGTTTATGTGATAAATGTACACCAAAGAGAACTAGAAATCAACTTTCATTTTTTCTGCCTTTCTACAATCTTTCATTATGATCTGTTATAAATTTTAGAGGGGTACAAACTTGCTTGTATTGCCTCTAGAAAGGTCGGTCATTTCTGAAGTTTAAAGCTTGTATTTCCATCAATCTTTTTTCCTTTGTGACATCTTTGGTTCATGAAAAACATTTCCAGATTATGATGCACAAATGCACAAAAAGTGCTATCATAATCAAAGTGAAATTTTTAGGAGTATAAGGATCAAAGATAGCAGAATGGTGTCTCATTATACATACAGCTAGATCATCTCTTTAGAATTCCTTTAAGCTGAGGCTAGTAGCTGATCATGTCCATGGCCACACCAGGGTCCAATCTCACAAGAAATCTTACTATTAATTTAAGTATGGTATGTAAAATTCCACACTTACCATAAATTCTTATCTTACAAATTATTCGAAGATCGGTTAACATGTATGGGAGACAATGAAAGAGTATTTTTTGGTGTATATTCTCAACTGTGGTGATAATTTCAGGGTTTGATGATGTTGAAGTGGCTTAAATTAGAATGAAAATATCAACTTATTTATTTTATTTGGAAACTGATGTATGTATATAACCTTGTTGGTTAATCCCTGTCACTCTATCAAGTATGATTAAAGTGGAAGTATGATGTAAATTAAAGTATGATAATAGAAATGAAAGACATGGTGGTTTATCTCTGTCTCTCTATCAAGTATGATAAGGAAAAGTATGATGAAATGGAAGTATGGTAATGGAAAAGGAAGGTTTGAAGAAAGTATGATAATTATTAACAAAGGTATGAGAGAGTAAAGAGGGTTAATTAGGAACCATTTGATAGGGTTAATATATACATCGTTTCCAAATAGAACTATATTATTATATTTACTGTACAACATTAATTTTAATTTATTGGTTGCAACTGATAATAAATTAAGTTCCAAGCATTACTGCATTTAAATAGTGCAAATTAGTGGTCTCAATTTTACACTTTCACAGTTGATAGAGCTCAAATTGAGCTATCAATATCACTATTAGTATGATAATCTTGTAAGATAAGTAAAATTGGCTTTAGAATCCAAAAATTGAGATTTATCAGCAAGAAAATATACATACATCCATTTAACTTCGCAAAATATATTACTGCCTATTATAAGTAGACAAGTCCTTCTCAATTGACGGTTTGCCTTTAAACAGATTTCAGATCATTACTATTATATTCAAGAAAATTAACTTAACTGCCTACTTGGCACATATTTAACAATTCCATGCATCTACTACATTATTGTTTAGAACTGTCAGAGAATAATGTCAGGTTCATCCATCAAAAACTGAATTAATCTTACAATTTCCTCAGTGCAACCAATAAACATCACCTCTATATACTCATATTAATTATCTGTGTAATATTTTCTATGTCAATCATTCAACTGTATAGATAATATCTGGGTATATGTAGTTTTATATTCTCAACAACTTGATTATTTTTGTTCCTAACAATTTTGATAAGAAGAAAACAGAAGTAGATCATTGAGGTCTGAAGATCTTGTTGGTGTCAAGGGAATTTTTCTTTAGAAATTACAACATAAACTTGACAGCTTCAATGTTGTTATCAGTGGACTGTTGTGTTTTAGTCCTGCTGTGAATCCAAAATCACAATCTGGTGCAGCAGGCAAAATAAATGAAAATTTAAACTTTGGTTTTTTTCGTAATTACATCTTAACAAATTAGCTGTGCCTCAAGTTAAGATTAGCACCCTACTTCTGACAAAGATTCCTGATCAAAAGGATCAAAAGGATTGTAAGGGTAGAAAAATATATGTCAAACATTTCAATAATTTATAAGAGAAAAAAATTACTCTGATTTAAAAGGTACCTTTAAATCCATTTCAAAATTCTAACTAATTCCCATTTAAAAATCGGTATATATCTCTGAATTAGAAAGGTATATTCGAGTCAACAAAAAAGACAGATTTTAATGCAAACATTCTATATTGTCAGGTACTTGTCAGGTACAAAAAGAATTGAGTTATCGCTAGTATCTGTATCTATCATGCTTTTAACTGTAATTGTTTATATGTTGTGTCCTGATTTCAACTGAAGAATGAATGAAGCTGATTTTACTTGATTTATTTGGTATTTTGTACATTGAAAGGTTGAATTTCTTTTATAAAAAAGTTATAAATGATGAGTTTCATGGAATGGTTTTTTATGCAATTTCTTGTTTTCTTAACCTTATTAGAGTCAATTATTCTACTAGAAGTCAACTGATACTGATTTGTCAATTTGTCATTGTGGAGATTATCACAAACAAAATGGTGTTTCAATGGTGTATCCCGGTTAGTATTCAAACATGATATCAAAGTATTTAAAACTGTAAAAATGTGCTCTATGTAAATTCAAGTATTCAAAAATGGACTTTTAAACGTACACGTGCTTTTGGGTTAGAAGAACTTTGGTCTGAGTTTTAAAAAACCCCAAAATCTTGTTACAGGATACTCTGGAGACTGTATATTCAAAAAACTTGTTATGTTTTCAATATTTAGGTATTAATTTGTCTGATTGAAGTCAGATAATAAGAAAGATATCAATGATGAAACTTGTATGAAATGAAATGAACAATTCATCATGTTTTTGGTATGTTGTTTCTTTGATTTTTGTGTGCATTTTTATTATGTAATATTTGATCTAGGCAGCTTGAAACATGGTTTGGCCTTTACTTCTTTAATTATTATTATCAACCTAGTCATAGTCATGTACGAGTCAAATTTGTAATTTGTGAGCTGCAGTCAATTTTTGCAGTTGTCAGATGGATATTTAAACAAGTAACAGGGAAAACACACAATGGGTGGACATATTCTGTCGAGGCTGAATTTGAAATCCATAGTTCTGTGGAATCGCCATAAACCGAAGCTTCCGATACAGCGTCTGAGAGAGTTCTCCCTTGGAAAGTTTTGAAAAGTAACATTGATTTGGTGCATTCTGATAAATATTTAAAGGAAAAAAAGCATATTTTTAAATTTATTAGAAATTAAGTGGCGCCGCTACTGAAGTTATCACATGAGATGAATCAACTGCTACTCTCATACCGTCATACCATGCTTGTGTCTAAATATATCGGACTGGTAGTGGTGTGTCCCCTTACGACATCAAGATATTTCAATTTCTTTTGATCATTGGATTCTCATAGCCTACAGTCTACATTCAACAATTATATGACACTTTCTGGTTCCAAATTGTATGTAACCTGTGATCAAAAGAAATTGGTATTTCCTTCAGATTTACGATTATGTATGAAATGAAATATTAATGAATTTATTTACCAATATTTGGTTTTCTACAGACAATGATTGCAACATGTGAATTACCTGTATGTTTTATGTTGTAGAAAAATATATAAAATACTTAAAAGCTAATCGTGTTTTATTCTTATGTAGAAAATTCATCAGTATGCCTATGAAATATCCAAAGGTACAAGGCAATGCCAGTGGGCAAGGGCATTGATTGGCATGACCAATTTATCATAGTCCACTAGGGCTCTGAAACACCCTATTAGTTGTTGAGGGGCACAACTCATACTCAATCCCTCCTCTTCGTTACCTCTATCAACTTTGATCAATTGAAGAATTTTTGACATCGTAATTCCATGGGAAAGTCCAATAATTTTAGTGCCAAAAAAGGACAAAAAAATACGGTTTTGTATGGATTATATAAACTGGATTCATCTACTATTCATTCGTTGATCAGTCTAATTTTATCCTTTCACATATTTCTATTTGCCTTCTTCGCTATTTACAGAAACGTATTTGATCTAGCAAGTGGCTTTTGGCAATTTCTCTGTTCAGTAGACGTAACATTTATCGGATATCGTATCCTTGATTATAGATTTCCTATTGTCTGAGTAGTTAAAGGTGGTAATTAAATCAAGCTGACTCAATGATTATTATTTTACATGTTCATCAATACTAACAATCACAGGATTGTATAACAAGATCACATCACATTCATTTCATTAGAAATACACCCCTTTTAAAGCGATACCATAGACGTTTTCTGTCCTTTTTACTGCAATTCTCCCAATATTTTGTTTCGATTAACCTAATTGGTCGAGAGATAGACTGTCGGCAGATTCAAACTAGTGACGGGATTCGTACAGAACGCTACCTAAAGAGTTGGGCGATGGTTTCATTGCAACGGCCCACGGCCTTTCAGAGCTGAGGATGATAATTCCGGTGATCCCAGAAAACTCGACCTGTTTAAGACGTCACTATCTCAGATACCATACTATATATTATATATATATATGGGCCAGAAATCCCGTTTTGTGTCTCATTAACATCCAAAGAAAAACACCAGTGGGCTACATAAACAGTGGCGTTTCTATGAATCGGTAGATGAGGGGAGTAGCGGCCATAACATTGTCAAGGCGGGTCCATAGGCTTTCTTTCCCTGCTTAAAATGAGAAGAAAATTGAAAGTGGGTGAAAAGGGCGTGGCCAGTCTCCGGTTCTGTGCCCCTCTCCTCACAGAAACTAGACAAACTCATCTCATCAATATACAAGCAGTATACACCATAAAGCAAGTTTCACAAAGAAAAAAATGTACAGTATCCTTGTCACATTGGATTACTCTTTGCTCTGTTTCAGTTCGTTTCCAATCATTGAATCCCCCCCCCCCCCCCACCCTCCCTTTAACATGTAAGGGGTGGGGGGGGGGGGAAGGGTCAAAAGCACAAGGTATTTAAAAACTCAATGATATATTGAATCTGAAACAGGGGGAAAGGGTTGCCAAGGTCTATCTAGGCAAATCTACACAAAGGGGTTTGGGGGGTGGGGTCGTAGTTACGTCACTGGGCCCCTATATACTCGGCATGGCACCCGAAAGAAATACAAAATATACGACACACACACCACTGGATTACTCTTGACCAGCATCAAATTATTGGCAGATCAGTAATTGGTTAGATTTGAAAAGACTTGATCAGACTACCTTCAAGAAGTCAAGGAGGTGAGTATTTATTTTTAATGCAGACAGATTGTCGGACATGGAATATTGTTTATCAATAGAATTTCTAAAAAAGGGGGTGGGGCTGAGGCTGGACGGATTTGCTCAAGTAGGTTTGAAGCTGTTTTATTCAAATTTTAAAAAATACTCATACCCATTCACTACAAATATACCTTAATGATATTTGCACAGAGGACGGTTTCCGGCGGTGCGCCCTTACTAAACCACGGTGGGGCTACATTTACTACATTAAAGACGAATCGGGGATAGGCTACGATTTCAAAAGTGATTGATATACTGGCACGATGATATACTGTATACTAATCTGAGTTTGAATTTTGAATATAGAATAAATCTCTAACTGAGTCTGTAAGCACCAGCCCCACTTGATAAATGATATTTGGAAATGGTAAAGTAAATAAAATTAATCTTTCATATTATTTTTGAAATATTAATCTTTCAAATTATATGACAACATTAATTTTGATAAGAGTGATGGTTATTAAAATATACGGTATGTAAAAGCTATTGAACAATATTAGAATCGCTGGAACATCATGGGACTTTCTAAATGTACAAAGGCAATGCAAAGCCCCCACACCCCTTATTGAATAAAAAAAACACCAATTGACAACCGACCAATTCCATTACTGCAACCGAACACCATTGTCGCTCCGAACAATCAAGTATGGCTACGGGCCTGTAAATGAATAGGGCTTGCGGCGTTAATCCGGGTTAGATCCATGCAAGGTTTAACCACAGTTAAGCTGGTAGACATATTGTGGTTTTGCTTTAGCAGATAAGCCTATAACAAAATCACAAGGGAATATTATGCTATAACACATTTTAAATAATTTTAGCAGAGTTCTCAAGTTTAAAATGTCTCTTAAAATCAATTAGCCGTGTGACATGAATATGACCATTTTCAAACAAAGAAAATCAATCACAATGTCCCCAAAATTGCGCCATAAACCATTTATAACACAATAAGTGTCTATTACGTGTTTTAAACACAACACAAAGGGTGCGGGGAATATTTCGCGGGGGGTTTAAGCATTAATCAATGAAATACAGTAGTCGTATTCATTAATACTACTCCAAACCAAACACGCCTAAATTACTTCCATATGTGTAACGATGACACTATAGGTTTTATATTTTGGAGGAGATAGCATCGTGTGATTGTAATCAATAAAAAAGCCTCTTATTACATCGTTTGAAGTCACGTGACTGTATGGTTGTAAACAATAAGTCAGTGAGCACGTGTTAGCTGTCGACTGTTAGTTTCTTGTTGACGTTTTATTCAGTACAGCGTGGCTCGATTATACACCGGCTAATGTGTAAGTCATTTACATTGTTAAATATTATATTTTCAACTAAATTATATAAGAATGAGGTGATATTATTTAATGAAAACCAAATTTTACGAATTTTTCTTGTAGAAAACGAGGCTGTTGACCTTCGGCTTCCTTCCTAACGTTTCTTCCGGAAACAAGAAAAATGGCGCACACACAGGAAAACATGGAATTGGTAGTGCCATTAAAACCGAATGAAGATCGGCTTTCGCCAGCAGTCACCCCTGACGAATCGGAGGAGACGGGCGACGAAATGAAGAAAAGCAGTTCCAGATTTCGTGTTGCGAGAGTAGAATTCGCGGAAAATATCAAAGATAAAAATGAGAAAAACAGTGAACAGAATATAAATGGCAATAAATCGACTGAGGATTATGATGGTGGAAATCAAAGTCCGGAGTCTCCAAGTGTTACATTTTCAGTTGGGACGGATTCCTTGACACATTCTTATGATACAAGTAATTTGAAAACATTAGCAATTAACACACATGAAGCTCTGCCATGCATGGACCATTATCGGAATATTCTATCTGCAACTGGTGGAATGAAAACAAGACCAACTTTAGCAGAATTACATGAAGAAATGGCTATAGATATGGTATGTATTATTTTTTAAATCAAACCCTATTCTATTTTCTAGCAGAATGTGCTTAGCACTGGCTTTCCTTTAAGGCTTAAATGAGGCCTGATGCTTATTTAGATGCCTTCGGTCGGTGGAAACTGCACACAAAAGCTATAGAACTAAGTAATGCTACATAACTCACTCTATGACTAACTGCCTAGCAGACGACAAATGAACCATCCTAGTCCATTACTGGTATTCAGATTAAATAATCAGGTTTTTCTCTTTGAAGAAATGTGCAGATTATTCTGTAAAATATAAGCAAAAACGATGTAATTTTTTATCAAATGCTAAAATGATTAAGCTTTTTTTTGGTTAACTTGTCAAAGCATGTTAAGTAGACAAAACATTAAAAAATATGGGGTCGCAATATGACAATTAAAAATATGACATTCACAAAATAAAGTCATATGCTAATGATGTTGAGCAAACAGCTGATCTAGAAGTATAAAATTGTAAAATGAAGTGATCTGGTTTGCGTTTCACAACACTCTTATGATCTAACTGTTGGACTTTACAGATTTTTTATTTTCGAAACAGTTCCCAGACTTTTGTGCACCTATAGTATCTTGTATCAAGATATATGTTTTGTTGTTGTTTTTTACACAGTGAAAAGAATTGTAAGAGGTTTTCTAAACTTTTTTATGTGTATGAGGGAGACTGATACCATTCATTTGCACCATTCCAATTTTCAATCAGTCATTAATCACAAAGGCCTTCTATAATACAAGCATATTTCGTGGTTAGTGATGTCATCAAACGCTTAGTTTTAATGGAATTGCAGGAACCACAGACGTCTGATTGAATATTGAAATGGTGTAAATTGATCCTATCAGTGTCCCAATACACATAAAACTTTTAGAAAAATTCTTTACAATCCTTTTAAGATCTTAACAGTTTATTTTTATCAGGTTTTTATGTAAATCCAGATTTATTCTGTTTGAAAACTACTTGTACTAGGCTAGTTAGAATTCAAAAGTTGGTCAAAAAAGCATTTACAGATAGATCATACCCCTGTCAACCTAAAAACTTATATTATATCACAATAGTTTGTTATTAGTGAAGCTAAGGATAGTAATAAATTACTGTTTATGGTTTTACTAGTTGATAGTTTTATGACCTGTGCCCTTATTGTGTCATTTCTTGATTTTTTTGAAGTGATGAGGTTATGTCACTATGGAAGGTTATTTGTTCTTAACATTGAATTCATTATGCTGATTTAACCTTCATGTAACTTTTAGTGTTTGACATTGGACATTGTATTTTTGTCAGGACAATGTTTTTTTATGACTAACTTGCTTGGGATTCGGGGTTTGTTCATGACATAGACCTGTCAAGAAAATGCCTGGATTCTTGTCTCTTTTGGACTTGTCAGTGTGGGGTATAAATTTTTTAGAAATCAGGGTTTGTTCTGTCCAGACATAAATCTATGAGATTTTTCAATGTGTCTCCCTTCAGTAGGGGGTTGACATGATGGAACAGCAGTTTTTTTTGATTGGACAATGAATAAAAGTCAAGCCCTGTGTACTATAGAGGCTTATGCATTTATAATGCCTTGAAAAATGAAATCAAAAAGGGTAACTTAATTCTGCTGACCTAGCAAAATTTTCCTTATTACCTTACTCACTGTATCAAGTGAAATCTTCCTCATTATCAGTACCGGTAGTCATAGTAATCACTTAAATTTTCCTCATTACTCACTGTAGGGAGTTGTCCCTATTTTATTTCAGTAGCCCTTAACCATTAACTCCATTTTAATTACGACTTTTTGACTTGTTAGACTTCAGGCACACTAATGCTGTTGTCATTACATCACATTAGTTAATGGGCAGAAGACTAAAGGTTAATTGTGGATGTTTTAAACAAACATAGCACAAGATTAGATATTTGTTACAAAGTCACTTAATCTTCAAAGATAACATAAATATACCTGATATACACCTACACTTTACATGATTCATCAACTAAAACAGTTGTCAAAATACTTAGAAAATCTCTTAAACACACCTTAATGAACATTTTGCATTAGTGGCAATTACAATTACAACAATTGGTGTTAAAACCATTAGGAATTTCTTCTCAAAAATCTCTTGAAAGTCCCTTCACAAATCTTTGCACAAACAAGTGTCAACATGGTTATTCCATTGTTGCTAAATCTATTAGGAATTTGGTTTTGAAAATATCTTTGAACACACCTTTGCACAAGTGTCAATGAAATTACAATACTTGTAAATTATTACTTTAAAATCTATTACAAATTTCATCATAATCTCTTTGCTTTGAACACCCCCTTAATGAAAATGTTGCACTAGTGTCCATGACAGTTACGTAATAATAATAATAGTAATAAAATCTTTATTAGGGTGAAAATTAGGCCTGACCTTTTTACAATTTCGCCCTTCAAAGGAACACAACATATAATACAAAAGAAACTAAAAACAGCAAAACATCAATCAACCATTACAACATTAGTTGTTAAAACCATTACAAAAAATCTTAGAATTGAACACCCCAAGGCTCTTGTTCAAAATTAAAGACAACAACATTGACATTGTTGGTAATGAATCTTTATTTTAATGGATGTGTGAAAAATATATTATGTAGTTTTATAGGGTTATTTGTTAAAGGATTAAAAAGGTTTTTTCACCCTTTGTATTAGTGATCAAGTTGGTTGAAATTAACAAGTTACTATCCAACAGAATGCACTGGCACAGGGTTAAAGCAATGTTCATGAATTTAAAATGTTAAGGTTAATATGTTAAAGTGGAAATTCGTACTTGTATTCTAAAAAACAATGAGATTATAATAGTATATTATTAAAAAAAATTGATTCTTTAATTCTTGCACTGAAGTTATATAAGTATAAGGGAAAGTTAAGTGGCATTGAATAACTGGGGTATGATAACTGGACACAATTATATAGATAACAATTACTTTAATAAATAACTTGAGATGATGATGCTTCCGTCTTTATCAAGCAATGATCCTTTTATAAGGGACACTTATGTCATCTATTTGCAGTTTTCTAGCCAGGTTATGATTGATGAGTTTCTATTAAATTAAAATGTCACAATCTTTAAGTAATTAAGGCACATCTGAAAGATGTCAGCTTATGTATATATATGAATCTGACTATTGGATCGTATATCGCTCTCTTGTCACCTGCAAAGTAATACCATGTGTGGGCTAGTTACTTAAGTATTAAGGGACAGCAGGGGATGTAGTAGATTCTTGATTCAGTACAGACTTAATTGATATAACATGGCTACACAGTTTGTCTTGAACTCACGACTTTGGATGGTCACAGAGTCAATATTCTTGACTCAACCCAGGCCAAAATATCTCCAGAATAATATTAAAGGAGTAAAATTAAGACTACCAGTGGTACCCAAATACTAGCTAGTTATAGGTGTTAAAAAAGATGATCTCCTATAGAAGCACTGGCTAGTGTAAGATGTTGTCTATTGATTACGAAAGACATTTTTCTCATGTTTTAACACATTAAAGAAATTGATTTTTAAGTCTCTATAGATAGATTGATGATATAAAATGTACTGAAGGACATTGACATCTATATTAAACTCGTGTTAGGCTGACATAGATCAAAAAGATGTTTAACAAGATGTTTTCATCACAATCCTGTCATTGTCAACTAGTAATTTATTAAATTAGGTTTGTATTTTGTCAGATTTTATATTTAGAACGTGTGACTGCCTGTGACAGTTGATGTAATGAGTGATAACTCTGTGTTTGTAGGTTGTGTGTCTACGTCACACCCAGGTTCTAGAAGTTGTCTTAGCACCTAAGAAGGTGGTAGGTACTGGCACAGGGTTAAAGCAGTGTTTAATGTTAAGGCTGTTATGTTAAGATGGAAATTCATTGTTAAAAAAAATCTAGAATATTATCATAATAATAAAAGTTGTTTTTTAAAATTTTTATGAATATTGAGGACAATCATAGCATAGACTTGCACCATTTTAATTATCAGTCAGTATGACTTCAAATTACACTGTATTCTATGATATAAATATCTGTATAGAGTACTTTGATGTTATTATCATCTTTTGTTATGGGAAGTCATAAAACAACTGAAAATCAGAATGGTGCAAATCAATGCCATCAGCTTCACCAATATACACATCAAAAGTCTAAAAAACCTCTTTACAATCTCTTTAAAATCTCCATAAATAATGATATAGACTGTACAAAGTATAATTCACTTTGCTTGATTGAAGGTGATGGATTTCAGTTCTTCCAGTTCATTTATGACATCATGTTGTCTGAGAACAATAAAAATTTGATGGATCAATAATGTCTGTATGATTAAATCAAAGCCTTGCTTACATCAGAGCACTAAAACTGTACTGGTACGAGATATCTGTTTGATGTCTTAATGGTCTTATATCAAAAGTAGAAACAGATCTGTATTTGTGACATTTGGTTGGTTAATGACAAGTTAACGTCCGCTTCCAGCTAAAGATATTTTTGTTACCTTGGCCAGTACCTTTATAAGTGTTTTGATAGACAACTTCGCTCATACCAGTTTGCTTTGTAATATGAGATACACTTTTGTAGTAGTAAGATGACTTTAGAAGAACAATTTTCATTGTCTAAAGTTAGATCATCCCAATGATGAATTCCAACTTGAAAACATTGTCCATGTACTTTGCGATACCAGTTAACTGAAAGCGCACGTTAACTTGTCAAATTTAAGTTATGAGGTAAATGTCTCATGACCTTAAGCAAGTCATCTTTTCTCATTATTTTAATGGCCAGATGAAAGTAAGCTTATTGATGTTAGATGTAGATCTTTCAGTACTCTTTAATACTGTTTTCTCCCAAGAAACCTTTATACCTCATAAAACTTCATATATAAGAACTTAATTTCAAATTTCCTGCTCTGTCTCTATGTGTTGAATGAGCTAGAATCTTTAATATACTTTACTTCTCAATAACATTCTGATTTTAATGAAGTCTGGCTTTCTGCTTGGACTGTTAGCATTTATAATTCATGTGCTTGGCTGCATGGTTATTGTCTTTTAGAAAGGGATGTTGACCTGTTTGCCAGCCATGACAGATTTTACTCCTGATGTTTTTGTATCAATAAAATGGAGGTGCCATATATTTAATCATATTTACAGTCCAAACATAGTGTCATGTTTTTTTACATACCATAACAGTTGAGTTTTTGAAACTTTACAATATTAACAAATACCCGCCTGTCTTTGAACTGGGATAAAGTATTTATTCACAATTCATTCAAGTTATAGCTGAGACACACCTGTAATAGCTTCAAACCTTTTCTGATAACTTAAATAGGAAATTGAATGGAAATCCTTTATTTACTAGTAAATCTAAAAACTAGCCCCTTTCAATCCCCCAAAAAATATAAACTTACAGAATGTAAATTTGATTCTAGTAACTAAACTTATTGTGTTGATATTGAATATATGTCCTTTATAAACCGGTATTAGTAATTCTATAAGAAGCCCCTTCACAATCCCCCAAAAATGTACTGAATGTTAACATGATCTTCGTAAGATATTTGTGGTCGTGTAAACAAGAATTTTCTGGTATTTGTCAGTCAATTGTTGTGTTTATGTCAACAATAAACAATGAAGTTATAAACCCAGAATATCTCAATGTGGTAAATATTAGGTTAGACCTTGAACAAGGGAAGGAAGAACAAAATTCAGGCCTGCTGACCAAGTCTAATAGGTAACTGCTGTTAATATGTTACGTTTTGACATGTCTTTTTCTCGTCACCTTGTTTTTTGCGTAGTTTACAGCAGAATCTATGTTTACTACTAAGTCAGTTGTCATTTCGCTTTTTAGCTCAGAGTCTTTGAGAATTTGAGCTCCAGTATAATAAATACTTACCTAACCCCTTAGCTACAGAGAGGGGGTAGCGGGGGGCATTGCCTTCCCTGAAAAGAATGGGCAACTTATGTTGTCACGGCAATGAAACACCAAATTGCCTATCCAGATATATCTTTTGCAATTGAGTCTGTCTACGGGCTTGACACTTGTGTCTGCTGCACTAGTCAAACAGGACTTGTCACTCTGTAATTGGGTTGTCTTTTGGGAGTCCACATAGCTAATATTGGTTAATATTGACTCTCTGGCTTATCTGATGTCATATTACACAAGTTTATCAACTCCACATTCCATTACCTAGCTAATAATCTTTTGTTGCTTAATTAAATGATTTCATGATCAAAGTTTAAACCAGTATGAAAAAGTAAGTAGGATTTGTCAAACAGCAAACAGTCCTATCAAATTCTCTAATAGAAAATTAACAGGTTATAATATCTCAATTAACATGTCAATCAGTCACTTACTAACAATCACTATGTTTGACATCGTGTACAGAAAATAATACAGATCTGCCCCGTTTTAGTAACCTTGAAATAAAGATTAAAGTTGATGCTTGTTTATTTGATTAGAATTCACAGAAAATCTGCTTTATTAAAGAAGTGTGTTATATTTCATAATATTGTCTTGTGTTGTTGTTGTATGTGCTCTTCGCTTCTATAAGTCATTCAAATCTTATGCTTTTGAGACTACTGGGTCAATGATCTTTATATATGATTATAGATGTCAAAATTTGAATACAGCAACGTCAGCGAGACTAGTCAAAGCCATTGAATTGTAAACACTATTGAATTGTAAAGATGACAATCGAAAACCCAACAGAAAATAAGATGTTGTATATATTTATCAACTCCCGAATTCGTTCAACTTTCATATTAGATTTTACATGATATTTTTACAGAAATAGACACCACACACAGACTGCTTTCAATGTCTCTTTATTGAAACTTGACAATCAATGGAGAGTTTTGTGGGATATTGATCATTTATGTCAATGTTGGAGGGTGTATAGAGTTTAATGATTGAATTCACCAATTTCCTTCAATACAGTATGTATAGGAATTAGATAATAGTTTTATTGAAGCATGAAATAGAGGATAATATCAAAGTCTATTTAAATCTAGAATGAATTACTCCATGAGCTGAACTTGCTTCTATTATTAGAGTTTGAAACGAGGTTGTCAATCAGATATTGATAGCATCTTTTTGCACCAATTTTCTGACAATCGACTTCTGTGAGTGTTTTATGACATCACCATTGCAAAAGCCTTTGAGTATGAATTGCAGCATTTAAGATAGCTACATCACAAAATAAAGTAAGTTACAGTGGTCTAGAATCACAGATGTCTGAATGTCGACTGATAAAATTGGAATGGTGTCAATCGATGCTTACAGTGTTCCTGAACCCTGATACAAATTTATAAAACCTCTACTTACAATTCCTTTAAGTCTAGTTTTTAGCCCATGAGCTTTAAGTATATACATATTTGTCTTCTAAGTTATTAGGTCTAAGTACATGTACATAGAATTAATTATCTATTAACAGACATGCATGAAAGGCTTTAGTGAACAGTAGGATAGTTTCATAATATCTGCTAGACGTTCTTTTTCCCATTGAACACAAAATTACAGGTTTTTTTTGCATGGTGTTGAAAACAGTCTAATTATTGAAATACGGCTTAATTTTAACTTGCTCATCATTCAGAATACAATATATATGATATTTTGCTTGTGAATAAGCTCAGTCTGGCTAGGACTATGACAGTATAGGGAAGGCTGGGTTTTAGGGAAAATCGGAACTTCTTTCACAGAATTTACATGATATTTTTACATTCTTTTTTCTTGAAATCCTTGTTCATTCATGTCTATGTCTATCTACCTGGATCGTACCTCAAATGTGTAAAGACATATGAAAAAGTAAGCTTAAAGATGGGTTCCCTTATTTTCATTTATGACAATGAAAATGCTAACTCTTATATGAATAGAAAGTAGAGGTGTTCTAATGACTTGGAAAAATACCAGTTTGCGCTTATCCAGACTGTATATACATTTACATTTATGATTGGTTAAAACTCTTAATTATATGCAATAAGAACATAATGATATGATTAAAAATACATGATAATTCATTAGAAACACCAATTAATCAAATAGTTTGCTTAATTTGAAACTAAGTTATAAGGAAAACCCTCTTTAACCAGTGAAAGCATTCTAGGTAATATAGTCTGTGCATGTCTTCATGACAGTCTGCTACAAAATAACACAATTTTTTTATGAATGACATCAAAATAACTATGCCTAGACTTGACTAAGTTCACTCCCCTTTCAAAAGGTTCATTATAAAGTATCTGAATTAATTACTTCTTGATATATAATTGACGAAGCCAGTTAAATGAACATTACAGGAAATATGTTTGGTATTTTTATTAGTGTACCCGGTACCCTACTTGTGATTTTTCCTACTTGAAATATTTTCCTGTAAGAGTTTTGGTTTATAATCTTAAAATTGTAGGGGAACTACAAAAATGACTAGATATTGACTTCATTTATCTTAAGATATAACTTAATATTTCCCTGTACCGGTATGACTTTTAGTTTTTGGAGAATTACAAAATGACTAGATGCTGAATTTGTACAGCTCTAATAAGGACTTGTTTTTTTAACCTCTGATATAAGAACTAAATATTTTAATTAAGAATAAGATTACTCTTGTTATTTTATCCTGACCAACACATAGTATACAAGAAGATGTAAACGCAATACTATTTCTAGATAGTCTTAATCCGTATAGAAAGTTATATGATGACTATTTTGAAATGTTTTGTTGCTTTTTACTGATAATTTTCATATGAATCCGATATCAACTTTAACTGGTCCAAATAATCTGCATATTTCTATAAGCCATGGATAGTTGACTGAAATGAAATGAAATGCATGGAGTTTTACGTCCTACTTTTCTGTACCATGTAGGCTAATGAAGACGGAGGATAGTTGAATGAGGGTCTGCAATAAATAGATGGTTTTGTATGAGGCAGTGGAGTTTAAATAGTTTAAATGGATTATTGAAGAAAAACGTTATTGTTGACGTTATCAAGAGGTTAATTTATAACGCTTACTCTCGTACGTTAATCAACAATATTTTTAGAAAACAGGGTCCTGTATTTAAGAATAAAAAATCCCACAACAAAACCAAAATCTAAGATAGGAGCTTGGCAAAACATTGTTAATAGAAAATGAACTTAAGTGTTTCTTGCCAAATACTATAAACAATGTACCACTCCTCACTGTACTTAGACTCATTATTTGACTGTTGAATAGAGTTATTGGTCCAATAATCATAAAATAATATAATATGTATATAAATTATAGGTATTTTCTCAATGGGAATCTACAGTATGTGAGATTTTATTACCAAATGAAGGAGTGTAAAGGAATTTTTATTGAATTAATGTAATCTTTGATTTCCCTCGACAATGAAATAAAAGGAAGTTTTTCTTTCATTTTTCCTTCTAATTAAATAAGGGAAATTTTGATTAGAAATCTGCATATCTAATAATTTTCAATTTCCTACTTTTAAAACATTTTGGACATGCACAGCTTATTTGATCATAGAGCACAAGGAGCGTTGCTTTCAGTCCCTAAGACCTGCTTAACAAAGGCTGTTGATTTGGCTCTATTTGCCGGTCATGACCGACAGGGCTGCTTAAATGACCGACAGTCAATATCCTCAGTCGGACATAGTATAGGTTAGCCATTACATGATATTCAATGTCTGTGAAATCAAAATCTAATGACAAGTCTCTAATGGAATACAAAGTCGTCAATCACTGCTTGGCATTGCAATATGAAGGGGGAAAAGGGTTGCCCAGATATACTATTTGTGTTCATTTTTACAAAACAAGGTGTCCTAAAAGTGTGTTGATTGGATGGTTTGAAAATTAAAAGACATCATGAATATTTGAGGTCTATCTACTAAAGAGAAACAGGGTAGACTTCATGTTCAAGAAGAGTAAGAACTATCTGCCTAGTCTATTGTTATATTTCTAACTATCTGTATTTTAGGAAGAAGGTGGAGTAGGAGATAAAGGAAGACATAAAGAACCACTAATAAACAGTGAAGAAAGAATAGTAGAAAGTAAACAACCAGCTGTAACAGTTGATAACAGTCTTGCTACTAAATTTGGTTGGATCAAAGGAGTACTGGTAGGTCCAAAGACTTTAGTATAATTGTCTATATAGTGCACATTTTTTTCAACCCTGGCTTAATTAAACGGGTGTGTGCATTATAGACCATGAAAAAATAGCATTAGAAATTTGCCAGTCAATATTGATGATTGCCATTTTATTAAAGGTGCTAAAATTTAAACACCATTTATATAAGATCTTTGGTGAATGTTGCTAGCAATGCAGATCATGTTCATGGTTCTAGAATACCTTGTACTATTCTGCAGCTGCTGGCTGGATTTTTCAACTAAAATACCTCTCCAAGATTTCACATGACCAGTAGTGTTTATATATAGTATAATTGTGAATATAATGCACACCTTTTTAACCCTAGAGTTATCTTGAAAAATATCTGGCAATGTATAGAATACTTACCTTATTCGGTCTGGACACAAATATCAATAAGTTGGCATAACACAGACACCATATTACTCATTTAATCAACAGACACTCTCTTTGACAAACATATACAGTATAACATTCTTTATAAAAGTGTAAATTTGTCAATATTTCTCTATTGTAGATAAGATGTTTGTTAAATATTTGGGGTGTTATGTTATTTATTCGATTATCATGGTGTGTAGGGCAGGCAGGCATTGCTTATACTTCTTTAATTATACTATTATCGGGTGTGGTCACTACTCTTACAGCCATATCTATGTCTGCTATTTGTACCAATGGTTTAGTGAAAGGAGGTAGGTACCACATATTTTGAAAATTAATTTGTAAGTTTACACTTACTAGTGCACTCAGTGTCAGATGGTGATGAGAACATAGTCTCATGAAAGCACTGGCCTAGGTCACAAAGTAAAGATTTATGATAAAACAAGGTGCAAGTTAAAGGTTAAGATAATTAGATACGTTAACTAAGGATGTCTCTAAGGTAGAATGGACGAGGGATACAGTGAGGGATCATATATACAGTAGACAATAGAGAAGTAAACTGTGTTTGCAATGTGTCCATACAATAATTACTAACTCTTTCACTTTCCATTTTAAGTAAACATCCAAATCCAAATGGGCCAAATGAACGCCTATTTAAATTCTAAACAGCAACACCCTAAAAAATCCTCAAATTAACCTGTATCTTAATCTATCAGTTGTTTTATAAATTATTTATTTTTTCAGGTGGAGCTTATTTTATGATCTCACGTAGTTTAGGGCCAGAGTTTGGAGGAGCTATAGGCTTGATATTTTCTGTAGCCAATGCAGTAGCTGTAGCTATGTATGTTGTTGGGTTTGCTGAAACTGTTAGAGACTTATTAAAGGTAAGCTATTTATTATATTCAAATGATTTTTATTTGCAGGCTAATACCATCAGAGTTAAGGAGTTTAAATTCCAGGAAGATGGCACCTTGGCATTTTTCATTTTGTTTTCCCATGTATTATATAGTTGGGTGGAGCATTGATTCTTTACATAAGTGGTTGTGGATTCTAATTTTGGTATCCGCCTGTAACTGGGAAAGATCAATGCCAAGAGGGTTGGCCAAGGACTAGCTGATAGAAAGGAACCTAAGTTGTTAACCTTGTAAAATATAGTTGTTTCTTTCTTTTTCTCTTTATCTTAGTATATTTTGATTATTTTGTAGGAGAATGATGCGTTAATGATAGATGAAGTTAATGATATTAGAATCATAGGAATGATAACTATAGTATTCTTACTAGCTATTGCTATTATTGGTATGGAATGGGAAGCCAGGGTAAGACATACCAATTCTTTTTAGTTTTAAAGAGATGTTTGGATGCTTCTAGTCTTCATATGCTTTATTAAACTGACATGCTGGTTCCAGAGCAGAGACTCATCAAAATGTATTCCAAGTCCTTCAGGGTACATTTTAAAATATCAATTTGTACCCAGCTTGTACCCATCTCGAGAACGCTCAATCATTATGATATAGGATCTTGATGTGTTGATATACGGAAATACTTGTGAATTTTTCAACCCATTTTTTCCTTATGATAAAAACAAATCAGTGAGTTCAAGAGTGTACAGTCCTTTGACTTGGAACTGAGGACATTATTGCTATATCTGTATATGTTACAGATAATAGGAAAGGAGTAGGCTAATGCCTCCCAAGGGACAATCCTGTCCGTCCACCAATAATAATTACAATATGCAATGCTATAAGTATATTTCTTCATATATTTAAGGCCCAGTTAATTCTATTAGGAGTATTAATAATAGCCTTGATAGCAGGAGCTGTAGGAACCTTCATTCCACCAACTCAAGCTAAACTTGTTAAAGGTTTTGTTGGCTACAAAGGTAAGATTGGAGTTTTATATATTTGTAATATGAAACTATAATATGATGATATTAGTTTAAAAGAATATTATTTTCACATGCACCTGTAGCTTGGGTTCAGTGATCATGGACAAAATCAAATGTGCTGATTTGTAACACAGTGTTATATATGTATTTTTAGTGTACTCAATGAAATGAAATGGAGTTTACCTCTTATATATCTAGAATTGGCTAATTAAGATGCAATGCCATACAGTGTGCAATGAGTGAACATTTGCCATGGGAGCGATTTAGTGATTTTCAACATGCACAGTCTATAGTACATCTGTTGACTGTAAGATATAATTTGTGTATCTTACTTCTCCATTTCAGTTGAATTATTTAAAGAGAATTTCACCCCTAGTTTTAGAGATGGTCAAAGTTTCTTCTCTGTATTTTCTGTATTCTTTCCTGCTGCTACTGGAATTCTTGCTGGTGCCAATATTTCTGGAGATCTAAAGGTAAAGTCCCCCTCTGTTGATAATATTGTTTATGATACTGTTTATCTACAGGGCATTCAACTCACTTTCTGTCTTTACTGACATCTATAAGTGTTTGATAATAGATACATTTATCTACATGACGTTTCTTATCCCTTTCAGTATAATAGATTTTTGACCTGCTAAAAACTTTCTGATTTAATTTCAGGATGCCTCCCATGCTATACCAAAAGGAACCTTACTGGCCATTCTATTATCTACTATAATATATCTTATAGTGGGCTGGATGTTAGGTGCTTGTATGTTACGAGATGCTACAGGTTTTATTCCAGCCTTTTCTAACCTAACAACAGTTATAAACGGTAGTTTAGTAGAGATTAGTAATCCCTATACTATAGATATTGTTAGAAACTGTACGTTAGTTGAAGGTGGTGTTTGTAAGAAGTATGGTCTAATGAATGATTATCAGGTATGTTAATTCTTATTAATTCTTTTACTGGCATAGAAAATTCTATCATTAGTAACATGACAGACTTTGAATGGTTAAATATGACGTCATTAAGGCGTTAACGTTTGTTATAATTATTGTTATAAATTGAGGAGAGGTGGCCAATAAGTTCTAGATATCATATTTTAATTGAAATAACTTCAATATATTATGTTGTTTATAATTATAGGTAATGGAGATGTTATCAGCTTTTGGACCACTTGTTACAGCTGGAATATTCTCTGCTACATTATCATCAGCATTAGCTAGCCTTGTCTCAGCACCTAAAGTCTTCCAAGTAGGTTTTCTTCATTTTACATTTTGTTCAGTGGTTTTCAAAAAACCCTTCTGTGAGTGTGATCAAAAGATTGTTTGACAAACTTCTTGTAGATGCTTATATAGTGGCCTAAAGGTTAAAGAAAAAGGTTTTTTCACTTCTCATTTGAGATCTGCTTTTAGCCTTCTTACAGACTATGACTGGTGAACAAATTAAGGCCTAAAACTTGTGTATATTACAGATCCCTTAACAGTTAGAAAAAAGTTGACTGCCCTGGAGAAATTTCTCTCATTCCACAATGTATTAGCACAATCAGGAATAGAATTGTGGGAGGTAAAACTTATTATTTTTTGACTTTTTCAGGCTGTATGTAAAGATAAAATATTTCCTAAGATACATATATTTGCCAAGGGATATGGGAAAGATGACAATCCTAGAAGAGCCTATCTCTTAGCCTTCGCCATTGGTTTTGCTTTTGTATGTATAGGTTAGTAAAATAATAAAATATTTTCACTGTTACATTGCTGTATTTTATAAGCATTAACATTTATCATAATATAATATTGTGTGCAGTTAAAATAAGGCTCTTGGGATTATCCCATTTGGCCAATAGGGCTGCTAACGTGTTAGTATTTTTCAGTCATAATCTGTGGACGCATGAAGAAGTCAAAAAAGCTTTACCAAAAGGCCTCTTGTAGGAATATAATATTCCAAATTTAGCCTAGTCAATAAATAGTTTTATTCAGCAACCATGAAAATATTTGACTGCGGCAGTAGTACTCATTAAGTAAAGGTCAAGGACCATTTACCCAGTTTTTCTTAATTACGAGACTATTATTATTATTATTATTATTATTATTATTATTATTATTATTATTATTATTATTATTATTATTATTATTATTATTTTGTAATTTCAGGTGATTTAAATGCCATTGCTCCTGTGATATCTAATTTTTTCCTCATGTCTTATGCTTTAATTAATTATTCGTGTTTTGACGCCTCGTTAGCTAGGTCACCAGGTATATATATATTATCAATATACATATTTTTCTCGTCGTTGAGTTTATTTCCATCATGGTAATACTGTATGTTGTAGTTACCTCAACCTGATCAATAAGAGTATACCGGATCTTCGGAATTTACTTTTTACATATGACTTGGAATCGTCTGCTCTCATTTGCTTGATTAGCCCAAGTAGGATTTGACAAGTATTTCTGCATTTCATTCAACAGTCTTACTGTTAATATACAGTATATATACTACATTTCCCCTTTTGATTCTTTTTCAAAAGTTGGTTCAGAAAATAGGATGATGACCTATGACCTTCTTTTCATTAGCAAAATCTTGTCCAATAAAGATCATCTCATCTCATCTTGTTTCATTTCTGTTATCTAGGTTGGAGACCAGCGTTTAGGTTTTATTCTATGTGGATAAGTTTAGTTGGAGCTTTGATTTGCCTCGCTGTGATGTTTATTATTAATTGGTGGACTGCTCTTATTACATTTGGTGTTACTTGTGCCTTGTTTGTTTATGTTCATTATAGAAAACCAGGTAAGAGCATATTTTTCGGATTGAAAAACAGTGGTTGCTCTGGTCAAAGTCTTGCTATATTTCAAAAAATTACCATGTTTTTCTACTAATTTATTTCTGCCTGTAAGATAGAATATCTTATACAGAATAGTGTCTCATTATTTGTGTGACTATTTCTAATTTTTGAAGTGCCTTATCATCTCTTTGAGAAAATGACTGGAACTTAGCAAATTTGAAGTTCGGAGTTCCAAGTTCAATTTTGTTGATACTCATAGTACCTTATGATTTAGTTCGAACAGTTATTATTAATATCATACCTGTATTTTCTAGATGTAAATTGGGGTTCATCAACTCAAGCCCATGTTTATAGAGGAGCTTTACAGTCAGCTTTAAAATTAATCTCTGTTGAAGATCATATTAAGAATTTTAGGTAAGTTTCTTACTTTAAGATATGTTACAGTTTATGTGCTTTATGCATAGCATCATCTTAATCTGATAAAAACCAAAGCTTACATAGTGACTACAAGCCTAATTTGATTTTGCTTTTACTAAGTTAAGGGCAATAACTCAATAAGATGTCCTAATAAGACCAGTGAGAAATAGAAGTATGATGTAAAACTTCATTTCATTTAATTATTTGATATTTTGTAGACCTCAGGTATTAGTTTTGTCAGGTAAACCAGAAAATAGACCAGCTTTAGTTGACTTTGTTAGTCATATCACTAAAAAGATTAGTTTGATGGTGTGTGGTAACATTGTTGTGGTAAGTTTATTTGTATTTAGCTTTTAAGACATGTTCTCACGAGCATATTATTATTCATATTCATAAACTGTTACATCGAAACATCCATTACAGAGAGTATGGAATTGAGGACTGCTTACAGCCCAGTCGTTATGGTGGGGTCTGTATGGGCTAGGCCCCAGCAAGTGAGAATTAAGCCCCCAAGCAAAACCTTCTTCAGTTCAGCAGAGTTTGACACGTTTTTGGCACCTCCAAATTGTCAGAAATGAGTTCTCAGGGCCTCTAATTCTTAAAATTTTCTGAGTACAAAATCTGAGCCCCAGCACCAATTCATTCCTGGCAACGGGTCTGGCTGCTTGTTATATGTGATGGAGTCTACATAGCTTATCATTTCATTGTCAGCTCAGCATTCTTTCCCTTGAGTTTCAATATATAGCTACATCTTGGTTATTTGGTAGATTTTTGTCAACTTGAAAACTATTTTTGAGAGCCTATATGGCTAATAATTGATAGGCGTCTTTGCCAAGTCAGCAGAAGTTCAATATTTACAATAATGTTTGCTCAACGTATTTATGATTTGACTATACTTTTGAGAAATAGGTCATTAATCCATTTGGTTTATTATTTCAGGGAGAACAACGAGATAATTTAAGAGTAGTATTATCAGAAGAAGCCTACAGCTGGTTAAATAAGAGACATATTAAATCCTTCTATAGAACATCTACTGCCCCCTCTTTTAGACTGGGAGCACAGGCTTTAATGCAGGTAGGAAATCTCTTTATTCTTCTTAGTACATAAAGGATTGTATTTCTTCAAAATCTAAGTGTGCTATGACGTCACCATCGAAAAAGGCCTTAAGATATTATCAGCGGCTTTTTCGATAGTGACGTCTATTGGAATTGAACAACAGACGTCTGACTGAAGATTGGAATGGTGAAAACTGATGCTATAGGTGTCTCTAAGACACATCAAAAGTTTGATTGAAAAGATTTATAGATCATTTACTTCTATGCTAAACTTTTTCTATTTCAAAACTGATCGAATTATTTTGAAATGCTTGCTGTATTTTGGAAGATTTTGTGGATAAAGTATTGTTTTAGTAAATACTTGTATGTTCTTCTTAAGAATATTAAAGCACAATAAAGACTTAAATCAATGCCGACTGTTCCCCTTTAATATTAAAACTATTAAATTGTAGTTATCTGGTATTGGTAAACTACGACCCAATCTATTAATGATGGGATTCAAGTCAAACTGGCATTCTTGTAAAGGAGAGGAAGTGTTAGAATATTTCAATGTTATTCAGTAAGTCTATTGTTTTATTATCTTATCTTGGGGCATCTTCAAAGTACTGTGGTAGCTTAAAGTACCATCTCACGATAGTGATCACCAGTAGCGTATGGTTTAGAATAAGAATATCGGTCTTTACATTAGAAGGCATTTCTCAGAACTCATGGCCTCATTCGCAATCATACGCAACTGGTAATCGCTATCGTGTAAGGGCACCTTTATATCTTTGAGCCACCTGCTTCATTATCCCAACCAAGGGCAGAAAATATGACCTAAAGCTCCCCTATCAATTTTGTTATAAATCTTTAATGCTTTTGTATCTTATGTTCAAATTCATCGTTCAAAATCTTTTGGTTTCTCTGGTTTGAAGACTCTAAATATCAAATAGCTGTTATTTTACAACACTAGATATAAATTTGTTGGTTGTTTTTTTCAGTGATGCCTTTGATATGAGATTTGGAGTAGGAATATTACGTCTAAAAGAAGGATTTGGACTAGATGTCGACCACGAAACAAATTACTACCCCGATACTTACGAAGATGAGGCTGATGGTAAGAAATGTTAATTTAAACAAAATTCTCTCTGTTTCTGCTCTCTCTTGTCTCTTGATTCTCTAGAATTCTCTAACACTCATATATATTTTGAGTTTTTAATTAATAATTTTGTTAATTGCTCGTTAAAGAATGTTAATTTTCATCTTTATTTTGTTTCCTAAGGAATGCATTATAGAAAAAAACCAACTAAAGGTAAAACTATAAACTACAGTTGGTTGTTTCATGTATGTTTAATCACTTCAACAATTTTCATTTTTATTTCACAAAAAATTCAAGACATTTCAGTTCATTTTCATTTCACTTAGTCATTTCTGCAGTTCATTTTTCATTTCACTTAGTCATTTCTTCAGTTCATTTTCATTTCACTTAGTCATTTCTGCAGTTCATTTTCATTTCACTTAGTCATTTCTGCAGTTCATTTTTCATTTGACTGTGGACTATTTGATGAAATTTCATATCACAAACACTTCACTGGATACTTTTCTTAAGACTAGAGCTTATCTCATGCTGCTGACACATGTTTCAGATACATAATCTTCATCAGGACAGCTTTATTGAAAATGGGAATTAACGAGCAATGTTAGCTTTGAATTAACTACACATAAATGCCATCATTATATAGTGCCATTGGGCAGTTGGTGAAATTGATATTGTAATGTTACTGTCCTGTCAAAGTTCGTCCATCATTTCATAATGTTTTGTCAAGTGTTTCTCCCAGAAATTGTTTCCATTTACTACAAATAAAATTCTTACCATGCATGCTTCATCCAACACAATAAACACAAGAAAAACTTCACATTTTTGAGAATTTTTAATCACAGTTTCATAAAGACAAATGTCTTCTTAAAAATTATCAAATTTCTTAGTCCTTATTTCATTAGGGTATATTGGTCACTTCTAAGGCATATAGCCGTCCAAATATGTAATGCATCTAAGTAAAAGCTTCCTGCATCACTTATAAGAATACAAAATCTGACATCTAGTTTGTCTGTAATTAAAACAAAATGCATTTACAACAGTCCTAAGTCAAAGTGTTCAGGGCCTGTTCCTCAAAAAATCTTTTTGAAAGTTTCACATTTATGACAAATTCTTATTGTATGTTTTTTTTGAGGAAAGGGCTATTATTTGTTTCTCCCAATTCAAATGTCACAGGTGTGATATCTGTAAAAACTGACCTTTGAAAAATATGTTCTAAAATCCTTTGATTATGTTCTTATATTATGTTCATATGTTATGTTAATATATATCATGTTAATTTATTACTTATGTTCATATATTATGCTTATGACTATGCTAATTTACAGATAGTGGAGATGATTTAACACCAGAAGAAACACTGATTCAAGAATCTAAATCGAAAGTAAATGGTAAAAAATCACAAGATAATGGTACACCACCCAAACCTGATTTACAAATCAATAAAGAGGTTTTAAAAGCCATGAATAAATTTTATCGTAAAAAAGAAAAAGGAACCATTGATGTTTGGTGGCTCTTCGACGATGGAGGTAAGAAAGATCTTGATTTATAGTATTGTTGGTGACGCTCAGTTGTTGAGTTCTGCTTATTCAGAATTCATGTAATGGAAAGTTGAATAAAACTGTTTGAGCTATTCTACTACCACTTTTTGTTTAAAATTGTTATTTAACAACGAAATATAACACATGATCACTGAGATATATTCATATGGTATTTTATGTACATTTGTATATATTTTTTTACTTATTTTTCAGGTCTAACCCTTCTGATTCCGTATATATTAACAACTAAATCTCACTGGGGAAGTTGTAAATTACGTGTATTTACTGTCAGTAAGAAAAAAGGAGAAATAGATAGAGAACAACAACAGTAAGTAGAAAATTTATAATTAAACACTGCAGTTTATGCAAATCAAATTATTTTTCCCTGTGAACGTGATAATGATTGTATTTTTATTTCCTTATTTCGTTACTTGTTTAAATTACAAAACTCATATACCTATCTTACAGGACAAACTAACCTAATCAATCAAATTTGAGAAAGTTTGAGAAACTTGGGTTAAATTAAGAGGGAGTTTGCTCCTCCCTTAATAAATTTTAGATATCGAATAAGAAATACCAGTAATGTTACTTTAATATTCTTGATTAATAAAATTCTGATCAGGGATATGAAATTTATGTTCTTATTATTAAATTGATAAGATATCTTTCTATTATACAGAATGGCAACATTATTAGCGAAGTTTAGAATAGAATGTAAAGATATGGTAATAGTAGATGTAACAAAACCACCTAAAGAAGAAAGGTAACTTTCAGATTATTATGTTTCCATTTCCAAATACAGTGTCTGTAGATTCCAGCTTCTGTTAATTGACTTTGTCTCGGTGATTTTGCTAACTCGTAGACCCGTAGGTTGGGTTGAGATAATGCCTTCGAATTTTTGAACCCCTTTCCACTTGTTTGAGATACAGGTTTGAAGGGGCTGATGTGGAAAATGATTGGAAACCTTCCAGAATAAATGTATGAACTAATTATGTATACTATATGTATAAATGTAAGAATATTTAATTACAGTGTTCGTGAGTTTAACTCTAGGTTACAAGATTGGTGTTTAGATGAAAATAAGGGAGAAACACCAGAAGAATCTCCATGGAAAACATCAGCTGAAGAACAGGCATTACTGAAAGATAAGGTAAGAAATTATAAACCATCTAATAACAAAAAATCAGCATTTTACCTTTGTACATATGATGACACATTGTGGTCTTGAAGGGAAAATTATTGTGAGATAGCAAAGTCCAAGGAGCAATATGACACATTTTTTAATGGAAAGTTAATTGTTATATATTTAATTTTGTAGACGAACCGACATATCAGACTAAGAGAATTAATGATAGAGAATTCTAGTGATGCTTCATTGATTGTCATGTAAGTTATTATAATATTATAAATTATAGTTAATAAATACACCAAATACTAACGATCCAAACGAACCTGAAATCTAAAACAACATTCTGGTGAAACATTGGTAGCAGCTAATGAATATAAAGCAATGATAATTGTACTCATTCAGGGATGATTCAAAATAGAAGTAGGAGATGTTTTACCAAACTGAGATGACTTATATTTTCGCTCTTTTTAAACATATATGCCTCTCCCCATTTTATTATCATGTACTAACACTGTTATATAAATTTCTGTTTATTTATTACAGGACCTTACCAATGCCACGTAAAGCCAACTGTTCAGCTAGTATCTATATGTCATGGATCGATACATTAACAAGAGACATGCCACCAATATTGTTATTACGAGGAAATCAAACTTCAGTTCTTACTTTCTATTCCTAGTCCAACATTTATTTGGTTGTGAAAAGACAGTTTACACCAAGTGTTACTAGCTGCTGTTTATTGGTCCAATACTCGTTCACTTGCTTAGATAATGTTCATAGGATATGTTCTTATATTGGAGTAATTCTTCAAAAATGTGTTCACTTACTGCAGACCACTGAGTTTGAAACATTATACCACAAACTTTAAGAAGAATTTTTAGAAGAATTGCTTTTTCTGTCTTGTCTATAAAGAAGATATAGTCATAATAGACAATTTATAAAAGTATACATCAACAAGTAATTATCTTCAAGAAATGGAAAGGAGATAATTAAAACTGTATAACCAATCCCATGGTGAAGAAAAATGGAATCTCAGAATACTATTTAGAGGTTGTTTAGCTCTCACTGCTGTATTAAGAATCTGATTTACAGATTGATACAAGATCTCTACGCATTAAGATCCCTTTGAAAATATATATAGTCTGCTTTGATCAAAACAATACATAAAGAGTTTTATTTAATAGAAATAATCTCAGAATGTTATATAATGTTAGTAAGATGACACTGCCACATATTGCCGCATTTTGAAGGAATCTCACTTATATTGATACATTTATTAACGAAATAGAGATATTCCTAGACACAAGGGACATTTTTGATGTATTAGCTAACTGATATCTATAAACAATAATTAGTCATTGAAACTAAACCAATAATGCCTGTTGTATGACATTTAATATGAAATATTGGAATAAAATTAACTGGTTGACAAAATCAAAAACTTGAGAAATTAGGCTAGAAAGGATTTGAAATAGATATATTTCATCTGATGAAATAATAAAATCTGATCAATGTCCATGCTTATTTAAAGTCCATTACTTAAACCTTCCATCCACCATTAGTGAAGTAGAATAATTAATATAGAAAATTTGTTAATATGCAATATTTTTAGATGCATTTGTATATAGTTGTTAGAAAAATATTAAAACAGCCAGAAATGGAACAGTTTTCTAAAATCGCACATTGTCAAACTTTGAGGAATAACAAACTTCAAGACAATTTCGAAGATTACAAAAGATCTGAAACTCATGTTTCGAGATCAGTTATCTGAAGATCGCACAGTTGAAACTCCAAGTAAACACATGTTTCAGGTTCTGGTTTGATATTTCTATTTTGTCCTACAAAAGGTTGAGCACTATTTTAACAGTGAAAATATTTTTTTCTTGTAATTGTAAGAGATCTATATTTTGCTTGAATTGCTTAGTATTATTCATGATAATGTGAAAATTAAAAGGGATTGATCTAAACCATTTGGCCAGGTTGAATAGCTTCTATTTTATTAATTAATTTGAATTAATTTTGTTTTAAAGTTGTTAAGATACTGCTTGGCAGGGTTGTTGGATGCATTTGCCAGTCTTGTCTTGTCAATGTAACAGAAATATTTTGATGGTTGATTCCAAAGATAAATGTAAGAATTAAGAAATTGATGTTTATGTATTAAAAGGATACAGCCTAAATATTCAAAAAAACATGTCTGAGAAAGGAAATGAAATGAAATTGAGTTTTAAGTCCTACTCTTCTGAAACTTGTTAATCCAGATGATCTGAAAGAGATTAATAAGTGGACAACCCTGCTGTTAAGTGCAATAGCCATATCTCATTCCATGCTTGTATATATTAATTCTTTCTTTATCTTTCATTACTGTACAAATTTATGTACATATTTCATTGTTGAAATGTTTGCTATAATGCTAACTTAATATCTACTGCAACAGCTAATACGTGGATAGCTGAAATTCAGCTCTATTAGCTAGTGATGTTTACATTTTTATAAATATACAGATAGATTAAAAGAAGCTCTATCAGCTGTTAAAGCTAATATTGAGATGACTATACAAATACCAAAAATTCAGCTCTGTCTGTTGGTAAAGCCAATATGTAGATTATTATACAGATAGCTGAAATTGATCTTTATAAGCACGTAAAGTAAATATTTAGATGACTATATAGATATCAAACATTCAGCTGGTAAAGCCAATGTTTAGGTGATTATACAAAAACCAAAAATACAGCTCTATCAGATAGTAGAGTACTATATAGATACCAAAAATACAGCTCTATCAGATAGTAGATGACTATATAGATATCAAAAATTCAACTGGTAAAGCCAATGTTTAGGTGATTATACAGAAACCAAAAATACAGCTCTATCAGATAGTAGAGTACTATATAGATACCAAAAATACAGCTCTATCAGATAGTAAAGTACTATATAGATACCAAAAATACAGCTCTATCAGATAGTAGAGTACTATATAGATACCAAAAATTCAGCTCTATCAGATAGTAAAGTACTATATAGATACCAAACATTCAGCTCTATCAGATAGTAGAGTACTATATAGATACCAAAAATACAGCTCTATCAGATAGTAGAGTACTATATAGATACCAAAAATACAGCTCTATCAGATAGTAGAGTACTATATAGATACCAAAAATACAGCTCTATCAGCTGGTAAAGTACTATATAGATACCAAAAATTCAGCTCTATCAGATAGTAGAGTACTATATAGATACCAAAAATACAGCTCTATCAGATAGTAGAGTACTATATAGATACCAAAAATTCAGCTCTATCAGATAGTAAAGTACTATATAGATACCAAAAATACAGCTCTATCAGATAGTAGAGTACTATATAGATACCAAAAATACAGCTCTATCAGATAGTAGAGTACTATATAGATACCAAAAATACAGCTCTATCAGATAGTAGAGTACTATATAGATACCAAAAATACAGCTCTATCAGCTGGTAAAGTACTATATAGATACCAAAAATACAGCTCTATCAGATAGTAGAGTACTATATAGATACCAAAAATACAGCTCTATCAGATAGTAGAGTACTATATAGATACCAAAAATACAGCTCTATCAGATAGTAAAGTACTATGCAGATACCAAAAATTCAACTGGTAAAGCCAATATTTAGATGATTATTTTAGTATGTTATATTCTTGTAATAAAATGTTTATTAATGAATCTCAAACCACATTATATTATATTATTATAGTATTATTATGTCATCTGTCTCCTGGGATTTTCTGTCAATTTAGAAGTGTGATGGTTGACAATCATTGTTACGTAAACTGTACAGTGAGATGAATTGAAATAGAGTTTTACACACTGCTTTTCTGTTGCTGTTAGGGCTAATGAAGACAGGTAATGCAGCCTGCAATGAGGGAAATATTTGGGTGGTATTTTTTAATTCCATCTGCCATAGAATCGTGATCAAATTATATGCTTACAAAATTTAGAGTAGGTGTGCAAAACTGCAAAATTTTTCGTTATCGTTGGACATGCATCAAAAATATTTCATAAGATATTTTGAGAAATGTTTCCCCTACACCTTTTAAACCAGTGGATTGTTTGTGTTCATACAGAATGAGAACAATTTAAATATAATTATCAATATTTCTTGGGTCAAAGAAGTTTATGAAAACTATGAAAAGTTGGTTTAAATGTGGCATGTATATAAGAAGATGTGTGTTGAATTGTGTGTTGAGCTAATCTGACAAATCGGGCACTATCAGTTCCTCAGAAGTGATTTATTGATTGGATATCTGCTTCTATAGGTACAGATATTCCATTAGTTTATCACATCAAAGGAACAGAATCTGTTATCTATATGATAGAGCCAGATTTGTGGAGCTTAACTTGAGCCAAGTTGATCATTTGAAATACACCAAATACATAATCATTGTGATATCATTCAAGTGTCTTCATATTTCTTATTGTTATTATGAATGTTTGAATCATTATACACTGTAAATAACTGAAGTTTTCTCAGACAACTAATAACAGTATCATCAGGATACTTATTATAGCAAGTCTTCATACTCTTTGTGATACAGTAAGGCAGGGGTTTTCAACAAAGGGGTAATTTTGAACTTTTTGGGGGTAATGAGGCACTTTGTAGTCTAGCATAAAAATTATGGACAATTATAATTGTTGTTGTTTCAATCAGTCAGTCTGACATGAAATTTTGCAGAGAAACTTAAAGAGAGAATAACATAGTAAAGTTTAAAGGGGAGTAATGCAATCAATCAAGAATCCTGAAAGGGGTAATAGAGATAAAAAAGGTTGAAAACCCCTGTGTTGAGGGAGACACATATATATGTCAAAGATTTGATTTTGATTTTTATTTAATTGATTTTGTTTTTACAGAAAAAAATCTCATGTCATTTTTGCAGTTGATGACAATATTGACTTACAGATAGGCTAGATATAGTATGTCAGTCATCTATTGAACATCCCTTAATTTCCTATTGAACTCTTCCACACATGCATAACTTGTATCAATATAAACAGTATATGTATGATTGGGAGAGCTCATTTGTAAAATTAGGGATGTTTTTGCTGCCTGTCAAATTATATCTAGCCTTGCTGGTTGAAATCATGTTGAAAAGACTTTTTCATGCACTTTTATGATATTGCTACCAAAATCATTCAAAAATAGGGATTCACATCTTCGGTAAAGCCATTTTCTAGCGATACGATAGTATAATTTGCTATTGACACTGTAGTGTTCATTAGGTCTGCCACAGACATCTTCACAATGGTCAAGGCATTTTGTCTTCTGTTACCTTTTTTCACAGAATGCAGCAATCTGGGCTCTCCATAGAAAGACTGTAACAAAATACTTACTTATGAAATCGAGAGCTCTGATTTGCTGTATTCACTGGCATACCATCAAATTAAATCGCTGACTATTTAACAAAAAAGTGGACCATTGCAGTCAAGGTAAAAGATGAAGACGTAATGCCTCGACCATTGTGAAGATGATCACAGTGGACTGTCCACAATTCCCAGAAGTACTGTAGTGCAGAAATCTTTGTTACGCTATTTTATATATACTGTTTATTTGTATTGTAAATATTAAAAATTAGATTTGCATTTAAACAGTTTGTTAACCAGCTTTTGTTATGTTTATATCCCATGCTAATAACAGGAATATTATTACTATAGCAATGTACTGTGTCCTATCTCCGGCTTGAATCTGAATTTCCAAATCCCCTGAGGACAGATCATTTTGGGTATACTTAGATAATCTGTGTGGCGGTATATCGAGTTATATCATAAGAATATAAATACACTCTTTTATCATGTGGGCTATTGAAGACGGGCAACGCCATGAAGGTTGCAATGAGGGAAATTTTGCCATGACAGCGGCATTAGCTTGTTCTTTTTTTCAATTTCTACCTTTACTGTCGATAGACCTTTTTGGAGCATTGGACAATCCAAGTCGTTATTTTAGACGAAAAGCAATATGGCGGCGCCCAGGGCAAAGAAGAAAAAGAGAGAGAGGGTGTTAAAAAGCAAAGTAACTACTGATCCAGATTCTGTAGAAACTGATTGTGCTGCTTATGTTCTCACCAGTTTCCCTTACATACTACAAAACATATTTGAAAATTTCTCAGCTAGAAGGCTTACTAGCTGTTCACGGTAAAAAGTTTTATTATTGACATTCTACTCTGACTTTATAATATGCTATCATATAGAGAGTTGACTATTGATAGAAACAGGCGCCTGTGTTTCACGGGTCATTCGTGACCCAAGGAATTAACGGTATGTTTTCAATGGACTGATTACATGGGCGTTCATTTGGTACACAAAAGACATTCATTATTCGAGAAATGAACATGTTCATTACTCGTTAAGTGAACTGGGCGAGAAGCAAGGTAGCCAATATTTCGTGACAATTAAAAGTGAACCCTATGTAACCATTCAGGAAAATGAGGTGTGAACAGTTAAAACGTCTAAATACATCTAGACTGAACTGTATCGCCTATTAAGAAATTAAGAAAATGTTTAAAATGAGTGTTTCAACTTTCAGTGTATGTAAAATTTGGAAGGAAATAGCAGATAGAGTTTTAAAAGCCCGTCCTCCATTCTATTGGGATTATTTTACCGAGAATGAAAAGGAAGCTAACAAGGCTGGGTTCAACGATCCTATATTTTATATGTTAGCTGAGATAGCCAAGTCAATAAAGGTAGGGGTTTTGTAAGTCTAGAATTTTTTAATTATCATAGATTTTCATGGAATAACTAAATAGTGGTACCAAGATTAGATGACCTTATTTCTGCCATCACATCTACTTTCAATTAATCTTATATTATAACTTTGAATGACTATTCTGGGTGTTATCTTATGATAGATATTTCTGACGGTTGTAGCGCTCGATGTTGATCATGCTTACTGTAGTCGACACCTGATGGTACTTCTCTTTGGAGGAGTCCACTACTATGCTATTAAATAATCCATTAGTGACATTTAGGGGTAGAGATCACATTAAATAACGGAACACAATTTTATGGTATACTACTCTTTAGTTCATTAAGAAGTTCACTAAGAAGTATACAATAAAATTGTGTTCCATTATTTAATACTATACTATTATTACTTCAAATATCATTTTTAATTCCAAAAATATTTTCATCTAGAGAATGCCGATAGTGCCTAAAACAGTGATGATATTTATGTCACAGATGTTTGCTGATAGAATAGAGGATTACGCTACACACGGCACGGAAGATTTTGTATCGGACATAGAATGGAGACTCAGTGATTTGGAGGATCCTTTAGTAAATTCGAAGGAGTTATTCCCCCCTGGAAGAACAAATGATAGATTAAAGAGAAACCATTTTAATCTTGTTGAATGGATTACTTATCAGATGTCGATGGAATGCCTTGTTTCAGCAGTTGTAACCGATGGTGTAATAGGTAGGTCAAAATCGTCTTGAACCCTGTGGCTAGTGAGTTAAATGAGCCAAAAGGTCCAGGGTTTGGTCATGGTTGAGTTACTACCCTCAGAGGGGCTGACATGGTAAAGGCGTCTGGTCATTTGGATGGCATGAATTACAGGCTGTGAATATTAAAGATCCCTCGAAAGTTGGTGATGGAAAAAGAAGGAGGTTAATGCTGATGGCAAAGGGTGTTATATGATAAAGCATATTTTGGGATTAGTAACGTTATCAGACAGTTATTTGTTGTGGAATTGCAGGAACCACAGATATCTAAAATGGTGCAAATTGATGATAATAATGTCCGCGAAACACATACAAAATTTTAAAATCTTCTTTGTAATCCCTTTAATTATTTAAATGGAGTTCAAAGTATCAATACTCTTACAAACTAGCTTGAGAATTATCGAATAATACTATACTATGATTTTCTGTCTTCCAGGAACACCTTGGGATAGCAGTGGTAGTTCATATGAAACCGAATGTGACAGTGGGTTTTCCTACTTTTGCTGCTCACAAGAAAATGGAGAAAGTGTCTTTATTACCAGCCCAATTTTGCGAAGTAAAAATAGAATCTTTTATAAACTACTGGATTTCAGGGCAACATTGGGATATATTTAATACTGACCTTGATGTGAAGAAAATTATGTTTTTTAGAGATGATGAAGCAAATGGGGATGTTGCCTTGGCATTGTGTGAGCAGTATGAAGGGCAGGCATTAGTAGCCGGTGCTGTCGTTAACTCAGTGCAGTTTCCTGTACTTGCAAAGGGTTCTGGAGAGATGTAAGTTACTATAGACTTTATACATGCCTCAGGCTCATAACGTAAAAAGGTGACATCACTGCAGTGAATTCGCCAACTTGACTTCATTTAAGGGCATGGTTCAACATTTTTGGGGGTTGATTTCGGTCTGATATTATGTAAGAAGATTTCAGCATTACTAAAACTGTACGAAAATCACAGAATTATCTGCCTGTCTTCATTAGCCTAATTAGAAATCTGATTCGATTCTTCATGGAAGATATGAGAAGCTATGTGTTGGATCTATCGAATAGAGCCCTTGCTGCTGTTCTTTCAAAATTTTCCTGATTGCACACTTCAGTGTATCTAATCAGGAACAGAAAACATTTCATTGCTTTAATTGCTGTAATTTGGTTTTTTTTTATACATTTCAGTATTATAAAAACTTGTTGTATAGCGTTTTGTGGTCAGAATGTAAGAGTAGCATCTGTGGTGATAGACTCTGTAACCAGAATTTCCGAACTGGAGGATTATATGAAAGAACTTAAATCACATGGACTTCCAGAAGAAAAATCAATCGCGTTTATGTATGCTTCCGTCTGCCACGGCTATAATCAATATCAAAAAGACAATGTACAATCAAAATGTTTTCGGAAATATTTTCCAAAGACTCCATTATTTGGAACATTTGTAAGGGAAGGAATCGGATCTACAGGATCAGTGCCAGAACCTCCTGAAATTGATGAAGATTTCGATATTTGGTTCACCTACCGTGATGAGCTTTATTCAAAATTATACCATCAATATAAATCTATACTGTGCTTGGTTTCATTTCAATGAAGATATAGAGTGGAGTAAAGATATTTCTTCACAGCTTGGCATCATGTAATACATAGAGAAGACTGTTTCTGACAGATGCAAGTGAACATGTGTTACCCTGCCTGGCAAGACGTCAGAGCCCTCAAATGAAAGACTTTAATGAATATGGCAAGCAATCTTTTAGGTGGTTGAAATAGTAGTTACTGTTAAAATAGTAATGAGCACAATTATGACTTAGTTCAATTACAGTCTACTTCATGACAAAGAAATGGACAAACTCTTGTTTTGGTTTGGATTGGACTGTGATGAACATAGATATCTTTGCTATAGTATATCATACAAGAATAAAGCCATCTAAATATTTGCTATATCAAAGTATATCATACAAGAATAAAGCCATCTAAATATTTGCTATATCAAAGTATATCATACAAGAATAAAGCCATCTAAATATTTGCTATATCAAAGTATATCATACAAGAATAAAGCCATCTAAATATTTGCTATATCAAAGTATATCATACAAGAATAAAGCCATCTAAATATTTGCTATATCAAAGTATATCATACAAGAATAAAGCCATCTAAATATTTGCTATATCAAAGTATATCATACAAGAATAAAGCCATCTAAATATTTGCTATATCAAAGTATATCATACAAGAATAAAGCCATCTAAATATTTGCTATATCAAAGTATATCATACAAGAATAAAGCCATCTAAATATTTGCTATAAGGAGTTGTGGCTTAGTGAAGATGATTATACCAACCTCAATATTGAGACTGAGAATTTTCAGAACATTGACCTGTTCTCATGTCCCCAAGGAAGTGCAGAAAGGATGTAAAACTCCATTTCATTTCATTTCATTTGTTACATGTTTCACTCAACTTTAAAGAGGGGGTTACACAAATAACAATTGTTAAAAAATTATGACTTCCCTTAGGTACTCAGGTATATCAATATAAACAATATAAAATTATTCTTGGATTTTCAATTAATGTCATTAGAGGAAGTAGCCTTATTCTTGTTTTATAATCTTCATTTGTTTATAAACAGTTTTTATTTAAAAAAAATGTCTCCATACCATCCGGTTTTAACTCTTCTTTTAGACTGATAGGCCCTACATCGATATATCAAAATATGCCAAGTTAATCATTGCATTCTCTTGCTTTAATTTGTTGATGTTGTTTTAAGTATGTTGTTTATGATTAGCAATAGGATGTAAAATTATGCAGCCTATTTTTTGTCCATCCTTTGGAAGTTTTTTTGATCATTTATAAAGTTATAAAGTATTAGGAACTTATGCTAACTTTTTATTTGACTTTTTATGTCAATTTTTGCTTCTGCTGAAAATACAGCTGCCAAAAAAATTGTTGATGGGAAAATATATCCTGTTATTGTTAATGTTTGTTATGCAAATTTAAAACTATTCAATAAAAGCTATGAACAGTCCACCAAGAAGTTTATTTTCAATGTACTCAGATTTGTAAAAGCGTCTGAATATGTCTAATTTCTTCCCAGAAGTTCAAAACTGACTTTGAGTCATAAGCTTATTAGTTGTGGTCCGTTTCCAAACAAGGGGCGTAACTCCAAATAAAGCTGGATAATCAAGACTTGTTTACAATTTTGTACACGTTGAACATAATTCATTTAACAAAAAGAAAAGAAAGCTTTGAATTCATCAGTTGGAAAGAAAATGGATCCAATCAATGTGAACGAAATTCAAGGCTTATGGAGCTACTTAAAAAGTGTAAGTAGTAAGAACATGTTTATTTATCAGCTGAATTATGATTAAAACATACACCATAAATGAATCTCTTGTCTTGGCTTGGCTGAAGGTTGATTTTGAAATGGCATTTCACATAGTTGACTTAAAAACTATGGATTGGACGCTTGGTAATGGCAACCTTTACAATTTTAGGTCTTGCACTTGTTTCTGAGACAACTGTTCTGCGCCCTGGCACAGGGTCTAATATTTTGTCAATAATATTTCTTCAAAATATTAGGCCTAGGCTACTGATACTGAACGTCTTCAGGTTAATGAAATTGTACAGTATAAGAAATGTTTATTTGACTCAAGTCATGTCTACCTTTATTGGCTCGTAGACAATACAAATGGATTGCCATTTCTACAGATATAATAGGTTTCTTGCCTTTAAAATAGACCTTTTCTTTCCTATTGACAGATTGATTGGTCAGACCATTGGTTAAAAGCACTGGGAGCATTTCATCTTACTTGTATTACAATAACAATTTTATCTCGAAACAGTACCACAGCACAAGCTTTTTATTTTGCATTTCTTTGTAAGTATTCGCTTATAATACGTTGGTTTTTTGAACGAGATTTCTTTTAGTTTTGAGAGTGGTAAATGTACAAGTGAAAAGCTTCAATTTAAAGGGATTGTAAGGAGGTTTTCTAACCTTTATACATGTATTGGGGACACTGATACCATCGATTTACACCATTTTGATGTTCAGGAAGATGTCTGTGATTCTTATGATTCCACTGAAACTAAATATTTCATGGTGTAGCTATGACAAAGATCCTTATTGGCAGCTTTTGCGATAGCTGTTAAAATTGCCACAGAAAAAGCTGGGAAACCTCTTAAAACCCAAGTATAGAACATTTGTTGGTAGACTTAAACATAATTTATGTAGCAAGTTGGATTGTCGTCTGCTAGGCAATAAGGTTCCATGGGTTCGAATCTTCCTTACAAATTCTGATGCCTGTGTCTGTGCTTTCGAGAATCAGTAACCCATAAATACCTAATTTAAATATATACTTACAGTAGTAGCAGTATATGCAGCAGAAACCATTAATAAATGGGCAGCCGAAAATTACAGGTAATATAATTAACGTTTGTTTTTAGCGCTGGTTCTTAACATGACGTCATGTGCTTGGTTACCTCGAACAAATGGCGGCTGTGGGTTCCAATCTCCGAGATCAGCGTGTGAAAGTCTGATGACCTTGAATAAGTCATCTTCACTATTCCAGTCGACCCCTGAGATATCAGAATTAGCTGAAAGCAGAAACAACAACTCTCACACTTGTATTATCATTTCAGATTATTTTCACGTCAACAATATTTTGACAGTAATGGATTGTTTATATCTGTAGTTTATTCTTTACCAATTCTCTTCAATTGTCTGGTTATTGTGGTAAGTTAAGTTAGAACTTGGGAATTGTTAACCTAACATTCCTATTACTCAATTTGGGTTTGTCACGAATTTAGTTTTCAATTTTTGTCCAGTTATTTCCCTTGACTAAACCAGAATTTATACTTGTTTATAATAGAGGATAAAGTTTAGAACGAATTTCGAAATAGTTTTTTTATACTGAAATGGAATGAACACATTTTTCTAAAGGTTGTTCCAGTTATTGATCTTGGCATGTAAATGCAATAGAGCCTAGTATATTGATAATTACATGGGACATGTAAGAGACATGTCCTTAACTCAAAAGGCTCAAATGATCATGAAATTGGCTGCTGTGGGTCTTTTTTTTACATGTAAACCTATATATATATTCAACATTTATTTTAGATATTATGGTTAAGAAATACAGTATTATTAATGTCAGAAGTAAAAAGATTAAAAATAAAGAAAATTATCATAGATGATAAGAGGAGAGAAGAGGAGAAAAAAGAAAAATAAGACAAGATAAAAATTATTAAGGAACATAGCACCTGTCTTGGGATTTGTTTCATATGTGATATTAACTGAAAGTTTGAATCTTGTATGGATATATACTTTGTGAACTTGAACTTTAAGCTTTTAGTATTTCACCTCAAGAGCTTAAATAGGACCTTAATTGATTGATAGTCTTCGGATTTATTTCATGTTATATTCACCAACACTGACTTGGTTTGAATCTTGTTTAGATGTTGACATTGTGAATTTGAGCTTTGAGCTTTTAGTATTTCACCTCAAGAGCTTAAATGGGATCACCATTGTTTGAATTACTATATGCTTGAGATTTATTTCATGTTGTATTCACCAATACTGACTTCAATGGAAGCTGAATTGGATTTTGACTTTGTTAAGTTGAGCTTTAAGCTTTTAGTAGTTCACCTCAAGAGCTTAAATGGGACATTAATTGATTGATAGTGTTTTGATTTATTTTATGTTATTTTCATATAAGAGATAAAGATTGGCTGTGCGACCAGTTATCCCTGATTATCAGTGACTAGTTTATGTTATTTTCACCAACAGTGACTTGGATTGGCTATATTTCAACATGTATTCACCAAGAACGGCTTGGTTTGAATCACGTTTGGATTTTGAATTTGAATGTTGACTTGATAAACTTGAGCTTTAAGCCTTAATTGGGTTGTGATCTGTGACGTTTGGGCCATATTTCAACATGTATTCAACAAGAATGGCATGGATAGAATCTGGTTTAGATTATATTTGGAATTTGTAGTGGAAGGGAGCTAAAATGGTACAATAATTGACGAATTTCTACATGCTCGAGCTATATTTCAAATGTTGCTTTATTGAATGTATTTTGAGCTTATTTTTTCACCACTGCCTACATTTTATACAGAAGTATGTTTTTTTTATGGGGCTATGTGTTTTTACAGGGTTATGATGGTTGCAAGGATTTTTAATGAAAATCAGCTTTCAATTGATCTGATTTTAAATGTATTGTTACAACTTTTAGAATTGAAATTTGAAAATGAGATTAAGAGTGTTTGAGTGTTGACCATAAAAAATTCAGCTTTTCACCAAATATTTTGTCATCTTAAAGGAATTGTGAAAAGGTTTTCTAAAACTTGTATGTGTTTTGGTGACACTGATATCATTGATTTGCACAATTCCAATTTTCAAAGTGATTTATTGAGAAGTATTTTAACTGTGGTATTTCAAGACACTTTTAATAACCTCAAAATGAAGCAAAATGGAACATACTCAGATACGAAAAAAATCAGTGTCTGACTAACGTTCTCTGTTCACATTTTTTTCATGTAGTGGGATTATCTGTTTTTTTTATCAGTACCGGTATTAAATTATTATTTTTTTTAATGTATTTGTTTCTTTCTCAATTAATATGTGTATAGTGCACAGTTTTTTTACACTAAAAAAGCTTGCCAAGCAGGAAGTGCGTATTATAGACAGACAAAAACAAAAACTTTTGCATTTGACGATACCAATGCCATATTGAGGAACAGCCATTTTGTAATTGATCACAAATTGTATATGCCTACTTATTCTTAAAACTGAGACAGTGAGTATAATATAATTAGTATATACTCCAAATGTTGTTTAGCAATTTGGGCACACCTGTTTCTAGTTACCCTTGTTTGATGAATGGCAAAATTGAAAATAAAGTAGATCGGTTGTTTCCATTCAAATGATGCGATGAATATTTTTAATATTAGAACTACAATAACAAAGTGTATCATCTAGTTTGTGAATCTATATTTATTTAATGGTTACTAGATAAATTATATTTTACGTAAAATATAATAAAAAATAAACAATTATTATTCATAAAATGTTATTATTTGAATAGAATAGTTTTTTTAAAATGAAAAGTAATTTATCTTGAGTATCATTTAAGTACACAGTGATTTGAAAAAAACAAAATCTTTATTTAAAATCAAGTTAAAAAAAACCAGTCGTTTGGCTGGCTGGCTTTATCTTAATACAATCAAGTCACATTTCAAATCTAAATAATACATGAGATAAAATCAGTTTTCACCCCTTGTATCATCTTCACCATGTCAAGCTATAATAAACTTCATCTTTGACTGAAATGGCCACCTTTCTTGTTTCACGTAAGTTTATTTGGTTGGATTGAAGATAGGCGAAATACAGCCAATCAGAGACATCATCAAAAATGCTGTGAGGGCTTCGATTGGCTGTATTCGCTGGTTTACCTTTAGGTACGCAAGCAAGTGTCTAACTCACTATGCTACCACGGCTCCCATTTATTACTTAGGGCCATAATAAACCAAGGTGTGTCAGTCCAGTTGAACACCAATACAAATAGAAATATTATATATCATATAACAAATTGACATTCAGAAAAACAATAACAACGATTCATGAGAGCGATTTTTGTATACTGAAGATTAAAATCTCACTAAAAATATTAAAAGGCCAAACAAAATGATTACACAACAAAGTTTTTGTCCAACAAGAGAAAAGATAATCTTGATCTTATATGGAACTATCACATATACACATAATCACATGAACATTCTTCTACGTGAAAATGCCTTGCATTATATCAATATGTCTTTTGATTTTATCAATAGAATTCATTCCAACGCCTTAAAGCCTTCACATGTGTATTCAAATGCAAACTTAAATGCTAACTCGGACCATAGCAAACCCTATCTGGCTAGGTGCTTAAAATAGGGGAATCCTATTCATGATGTCATTAGTGTAGGGTATTCTTTTCTTCTTCTTGTTTCCTGACCAAATACTAAACTAGTTCATCTTACGTTGATACGTCAGACACCAGGCATCATGGCTTGAGTTTGAGCTCACGTTGGGTTTGAGTTGGGCTAACTGATACATAATCCTTGAAATTCCCTGCACCTCGTGACTTATAAACTTATACATAAAGAAGTACATCTATCAGCTTTTGAGATTATTGGAATGAAACAAGGCTAATTATCGTTGTGTAAGCATGATACAACTTGGGAGGATGTCTTCGTCGATAATTAGATGAATCTTTTAAAAATTCATGCATTTCACAATCGTCTGTATCTTTCACTGGTTGTATTGGAGATGGTTCAGGGTACCGAAATCCTATTTCACCGTTTCCGAATAATCCCAATATCGGTGTTTTTGGAAAATGTTTACGAAAAATTGAGGATTCCACATTAGGAGCACTGTAATGCATTTCACCACGTCCAACACAAGCATACATAAAAGCTACTGATCTTTTTTCAGATAATTCATGTGATTTTAATTTTTTCATACAGTTTTCTACTTCTGCTGGTTCGCTAACACTCTCTTGTATAATCACTGAGGCAACCTGAACACTATCCCCACAGAACGCAACACAACATATCGATGGTAAATCATGTCTACAAAATAAAAAAAATAATAGCAAGCAAAAAAATAATTTCTGAACAGTTTCACATTTGAAATACAACACATTTTTATTTTGGAAAAAAAATGAGAATTTAGCTCTCATTCCATTATTGATGTGTTGGCTGTGAGAGAATTGCTAGGCTTAGGAGGGATAGATCTGAACTTGTTTAATGTACACAGCTTGTAGCAAGGATATATCTGGACTGTCAACATATACTGGAATCGAACTCTGGACCTTCAGGATGGTTTTTATTTACACTAAAGAATATAAAAGCGATCCAAATAGGACATTGAGAGATTGAACAAAAACTTACTTATGTTCTGTATCATGAAGCAGTGAGGGGAATTCTAGAGAATTAACAATAGCACCTGCTATCAAAGATTGGTTATATTCATGATATAAGGCGAACCCTAATTCCTGGGGCGTATCAACCTGATCAGTAAAATACATTATCTTCTTTACTTCTTTTCCAGTTTCAAATAAATTTGACGTAAATCCACTCTGTGTGTTCCATCCTATAACTAAGTCTAAAGCTTGTTTTATATCCAACTGTTTAGGAATCAACGACATTTTCTCATCATTTTGAGAACAACAAAACAAGGAAAATGCAATTTCGTTATCAGTTTCTTCTGTCTGAGTTATATTCCAATTTGTACCTGAAATAAAATTAATATTCACCATATCTTATATTACTATCAACTCAAAAACATTCTAAGACAAATGACATGCATTTCAGGGGCAGTCTGAGGCTAGCCTGCTTTGCTCCCCCATTGCCCCGTGACAATGAATTCTGAGGTCCCTACAAGTACCCCTCCACTTCATAACAACGGAACATCCTATAACAAATGACACTCATTTGAGAGGTGACCTGCGGCTAGCCCTGGTTTGGCCCCCAATTTCACAAGAGATCCCTTGACAATTCATTCTAGAGGCCCCTACAATTACACAGCCCCTCTGATTTCATTCCTAACAGTGCTAGTTACAGAGTAAAGTATGTCTTTCTCTTTCCTACATTTGCCCCCCTATTCTCCAATTTCTTATGATTTTACACAGGAAACCAATGCTTAAAAGACCCACTGACCAGCCCCACTGACCAGCCCCACTGACCAGCCCCACAGACCAGCCCCACAGACCAGCCCCTCTAACAAGCCCCACTGACTGAACATACCATGATTGTCTCTTACCTACAACACCATATGCTGTAACAGCGGTGACTTGACAAGATGGTGGCATCTGTTTCTCAAACCATTGTATCAAATTAAATCTTTGTTTTCTAGCCTTACTGGACCGTCGGCCATTTTCACTGGTGTCAAAGGTAACTTTTGGATTAATGACTCTCTTGAGCCTCGTTTCTAGATCCGAAGCTTCTATTGGCAGTCCTTCAACACTATAGTCATCTAGTCTTTCTTCTAAATAGGCTGTATAAAATATTATTACTACTTTTGGTTGAATTGGAAGCTTCTACAACAGATAAGTACATGTATATCAATAAATAAATAAGAACAGATTATGTCTTTAAGGAGGCTGAAATAGATCAGTTGTATGAAGATGGCACAGCTTGAAACTCTGAGTAACAACATGTTTCAGGTTCTGTTTTAATATTTTTAAGAACAAATTTTACATAAAGAATTTAATGAAACGCACCTGAAGTGCTTTTACTAACTGACAAAGCAATCCAAACACCTCATCAGTAGGGTGTGTTTTAGGGTCTTCATCAAGTATTGGTCCAGGAAAATGATCCCAATAAAACGGAAAACGATCTTTTAAAACTCTATCTGCAGTCTTCTTCCATAATTTACATACACTGAAATATCATAAATATAATTAAAGCTAACCCTATGGTATTCAGCCAGTATCAATTAAAAGGATTATAAAAAGAAGTTTCCTAATTTCTCATGTATTGCAAGGATATTGATAGCATTGATAGACTATGCTGTACTTAATTGAGGTATTTTTGAAGGGATTTAACAATTTCTGTGCAGACTATCTATATATATTCAAGATACTAATTAACCTCCGAAAATGGTGCATCTATCCCTTTCCCTTTTTTATTTTTTTGGTCTATGCCAATTACTTCCTGCGTATAGCTGCCATCAATATCATGGAAAATAACCTCTACCATACATATCCATGTAAGAAAATGCCCATTTTTTGTTCATTTTTCCTGCGATTTTACTCATAGGCTACAACTTATAGACTAAAACGTCTTAATTTTATTAATATCTGAATTCAGTGTAGATCTAGTATACAAGTATTCAGATTCATCAGTGGTAAAGATAACCTTGTAAACTATAATCTATTAACTTACTCAAAAGAAACAAGAAATTAAGTGAGCACCCCAATCAATCAATCAATCAATCAAATCAGCCAAATTTAGAAGCGGTAACGCTTACCAAAGACAGAATACAGTATGAACAGTATCTATGAATAAGTCATAAGACATAAGAATTAGTAGAAAAATATCTGATTTTTACCTTGCGCAGGTATTTAGCCTTTTCGCTGGGAAATGTTCAAATATGGATTGTAGTATAAGAGGGAAACTTGTGAGAACATAAGAAGCAAAGTCTGTTTCTACAGAATCTGGATCATTAGTTACTTCGTTAGTTTCTTCTCTCTTCAATAGTTTCTTACTGGTCGACGCCATATTGTCTTCGTCTAAAATAACGATTTGGATCGTTTACACTCGCAATGGTCTGTTTAATGTCTTCTCACAATACATCTCTAAGCTGATGATTACAGAATATTACATTCTGTAAGTAATAGTGCTGTAACACCGGAAAGGCATCTTGACTGCAGTGCTACGGCGATTGAAAATTGTCTGTATCCGCTAGCGCAAAATCCTATCAACTCGCTGCAATTACAAACTTCCATGATACAAGAAAAGTGCTTTATCTTCCACAATAAACAACAAACTAGATCCAGCTTGAATAACAAACTGCTAATTGGGGTGAACCACAAACTAGATTCAGAGTGAATAACAAACCAGATAAAACAAGAACTATGAGCAAATCACCTGAACAACAAATGGTTGGATTCTTTTTTGTAGATATCACCAAATTGTAGGAGAAAATGTTGATAACGACCTGAATATTGAAACTATCCCTTCCTCCGATATGTTTCAATTTGTTCCCTTTCCAGAGTTCGAATGTTCAGTCTGAAAACTTATCGGGATAGCCATTGTCGAAATTCCACTGCCCACTCTTGACAGACGCTCCAATGGATGGCTTGCGACTATTGCGCCTCACAATTTGAATCTCAACCTCATAAGTCGCCCCCCTATCAGTCAGTCTGTCAACTAATTGTACCCCCAGTCTCGGGAGGTTGGCTCCGCCACTGTCCTTTAATTCAAAGAACTAACGAGCCAGATTATGTTTATGAAGCTTGAATAATGAACAATGAACAATCACACACCAAGAATAAACCAAGTTTGCTGATAAAGGCAGATTTCGGTAATTATGTCATAAATATTCTAAAGTTTTTAGCTTTGTAGATTATACAAAGTTTCAAGTATAGTTAAACCACATTAACAATATTTGTTTGATTTGAGATCAGAAGAAAAACAAACACAGCAAAACATCTTGGTCCTCTCGACTGCCGCTTGACGTTTTGTTTACTGGGCTGACAGCTCATCGCTCTAACTCGGTTTTTCGTGGAGTAAACCATTAACCACCACATTACTGTAGCAATTGTCGAAGGGAGAAGGTGGTTAGTGTAGCGAGTTAGGAAGTGGTATCGTGTGTCCTTTCCCATTTAGTGGGATAGTGTAGCGAGTGGATCTTACCCAGTTCAGTGTAGAGACTGAGCGGGTCATCATATCAACCAATTATGTTTTTAGAAATGTTTAAAATAAGACTGAAATGGACTTTAATGGTTTTAACGTTAGCCTATTTTTGGAATTTTACAAAGTGTTACCGACATCGGTCGAGGACTTTACCGATTTATCCATGTACTTCTATGGGAATACAGTGGATCCGGCATCCACGGAACTGTGCTAAATACTACATTTGTGGCTATGGGAAGCCTCATTTATTACCCGCGTGTCCCCCTTCGTATGTGTGGTCTCAGAAATATACGAATTGTGTTCCTTCAAAATCTCGATGGGACGATTGTAACTTATATAATGTTAAAACAACTCAACGACCCGTGCGGAGACGATATCCTCATTATAATCACTTCCATTGGAGAAAAAAAACCAAATCTACCTCACCTAAATCTACGACCCGACATTATTTCAGACGGAGGAAAACTACGCCGCGTTGGTCATTGATTAGTCGCATTACGCCTACGACTACGCGTCTTCCAGTAAGACATACAACTCCTACGACAACAACTCGTCGAAAGACAACAACTCGTCGATCGACAACGACTCGTCAAACGACAACGACCCGTCGACCGACAACGACTCGTCGACCAACCACAACTACGAGTACGACGAGTTTACCAACTACCACCCCTTCAACTACGGTTACGACTACAACCAAACCAACACCTACAACTATAAGAGCAATAATTCCTTCCGTCCACGACCCTGTCGAGACGGGCTGGACGCCATCTTACCGGAATAGATGGAGATATACAACTGTTTACCCAAAATATAAACTTTCAAATGACGAGTGGGACACTACATTACAATATTTCACAGAGACGACCGCAACATCATCTCTACCGGAAACAACAACGATAACGTTACCCCCTCCCCCACCATCCACCCCTAGACGCCCTATAATTATAGAAACATCAACCAGGCCTTCATTTAAATCTTCAATGCAGCCCCAGTTCAAGTATAACCCAGGTAAGATTGAAATTAAGGAATAGCCTTATCCATTTCTCGAACGCGATATACAAAGTCATTGCAGAGAGTTGCACCGATTGCTAACAAACAGATGTATATACAATTTTTCAAAAAAGCGAAAAAGAACATTATAATCGTAAAAATATGCATGGTCTGGAAATCTGGAAATTGAAAAAGAGTAGACTGATGCCACTGTCCAGGCAAAATTCCCATCATAGCATACTGCATGGCGTTCCCGCCTTATTACCCCGATCAGATGCCGAAAATAGGACCTAAATTTCTTTTCATTTTATAATCTCTCAATTCGCTCATTTTACCATTATATTTCTTTCTTCTTGTATTCAATTTTCTCTTTGAAATATTTAAATCTAAACTTTAGAAATAGCCTCGCCTGCATTTTCTCAAACAAAATGTGGATATTATTCAAAGAGTGAATGATCGATTTGTTGTCCAAGTTTACCTTTCACAGTTTAATTACGTTAGTAAACGTTTACCTGTGTATAATATGCCCAATAAAACACAGGCTTGATACAATATTAGCTGTGGATACTGAGTGAAAGATAGAGAAATCGAGAGGAAATATTGACAAGAGTAATCACAAGAAGACTTAGCCCGACAAATCAGGACCTACCCGTTCCTAGGTCGGTCTAATCTGGCCCTACCTTTTCCTTGGTCGGTCTAATCTGGTACTGCCCATTCCTTAGCCCAACAAATTTGCTCCTACCCGTTCCTTAGCCCAACAAATCTGGTCCTACCTATTCCCTAGCCCAACAAATATGGTCCTACCTATTCCTTAGCCCAACAAATATGGTCCTAAACATTCCTTAGCCCAACAAATATGGTCCTACCTATTCCTTAGCCCAACAAATATGGTCCTACCCATTCCTTAGCCCAACAAATATGGTCCTACCCGTTCCTTAGCCCGATAAATCTGGTCCTACCCATTCCTTAACCCAACAAATCTGGTCCTACCCATCCCTTAGCCCAACAAATCTGGTCCTACCCGTTCCTTAACCCAACAAATATGGTCCTACCCATTCCTTAGCCCAACAAATCTGGACCTACCCATTCCTTAGCTCAACAAATCTGGTCCGACCCATTCCTTAGCCCAACAAATCTGGTCCTACCCGTTCCTTAGCCCAACAAATCTGGTCCTACCCAGTATTTTAGCCTGACAAATCAGTTCCTAGCCGTTCACTAGCCCGACAAATCAGTTCCTACCCGTACCTTAGCCCAATAAATATAGTCCTACCCAGTATTTTAGCCTGACAAATCAGTTTCTACCCGTTCCTTAGCTCGACAAATCAGATCCTACCCGTCCCTAGTCAGACAAATTTGACCCTACCCAGTTCCTTAGCCCGAAAAATCTGACCCTAACCAGTTCCTCTGACGTGATATACAGACGTGATAACGGCACGTTTATAGTTTCTACGATCAATTCTTGGATGGCAATTTTGTGAGAATTTCCTCCATGACAAAAGTCAAACTTTGTAATCATCAAGACATTGGCGGATATTATACAACGTCGCTATATGTCCCACACAGGACCAAAATACAGTCTAGGGGTAGGCTAAACTTACGGAGTTTTACGAAGAAGGGGAAAGCCCATACCCCTCGAATGTACTGTTAAGTGCCCGACGAATCAGGACCTACCCACTCCTCGGACGTGATATTGGCACGTTTAGGACAAGACATAAAATATAATTTATGGCAGTTGCTCCGATCCATTTTTAGATTGTATTGTAGGGCATAGCCAGATTTGTCGGGCTATTTTATTACCATGTGTTATTGATGACTGTTCAATTATGTCTATAGAGTCTTCTCCACTCTTCTCTTAATATACAAACACCTTCATCCTGGCCATTACCTGACCCCCAACATCCAATTGTCACAAATTTACTATAGAAAAACACTAGGGTTACGATGATCGATATCGTGTTCCAGATTTCCACCCACCCCTCCCCCTCCCCTTGGCTCCGCCAGTCAGAATTGTTATATTGTTAGATCATTTTTGCCAAATGTCTGTTTTGACTATAACCCTTTCTGATAAACACGAGCTATAGAGATTATTTCAATTTTTCAGCCATAATTAAGTCAATTGAACCAAATCCCCTGCTAAAGTTACTGATATAGGTTAATATGGTTGACTCTTCGTTTCATTTCTATCATTTTGTCTTCTTTTAAAGATTGCCATTTTCTCGCCATATTTACAAAACGAATAAAAACGGTAAAGATCACTTGTAAGTCGTTAGGAAAACAAGAAAAAACAGTAAATCCAAATTTACTGAACTTGAAACTGTATCACAGGTCACGTTTAGTTAGAGAACAAGCTTGCTAAAGTAAACGTCCAAACTTGCATAAAAACTGGAGAAAACAGAAAAAAAAGTCGAATCTGTCTGTAAAGTCAAGTCAAGATTTTAATGACCCAAAATAGCTTCTAAAGCAAACAAGAAAACATCTGAATTATTTTCTAATTCGGATTTAAACCTTGGTATTTATTTGATCATTTCATTAGTTGCTAGATCAAGTTTTTTCTTTCGCCTTTATCTTGTATTTCAAAAGGTTTTTTTTCGCAGTGTAGACATAGAAAAAACACCTGTATGCAACCGACAATGTACTTTAAGATCCACCAACAGTTGAAATTGAAAATAGTAGTCTATTGTCGTAAATTGCAGTGCAGAAGTGTAGCCTACAAAATCATGTAAGCAGATCAATAGAAGATCAGATCTGAATGTGTATTGACAACAGTGACATAGAATAAATCACGGCCATCATGGGGTAAAACAGGGTTCTCTACTTAGTGTACTTTTATTCATTATTTTCACAAATGAACTCAGTGTAATTTGATGATATGACTAATTCAACGACGTTCCGGTCTAATTTCTATCTGGTATCAGGTTCTTCAGGGGTGGGGAAATCCATTGGTCGGAGGTTCAGGAGCTGCTCAGTACGTCCCTGGGAATATCACAGGCGCCTAAGGTATCTAAAAGTGACTTATTTTTCACCCTGGTAACAAATACTACATGAATCATTATTACTGTGAGGGAAAACAAGGAATTCAGTTTAATTGGCTAAGGTTTTAAGAACAGACATTTTTAACTCATCGAAGCGAGAAGGTCCATAAAATATTTGCATTGATATTGATATCCATCGACGTAGGAAAATTCTCCGAAAAATATCGGGCAACAACCCTCCACCCACAGGCTTGTACGCCTATCTTGATATCTACAATGTGTCGAATGTTCAATATTTATAGATTCAATTAATTCCTTTCAAGTCCAATCTTAATAAATACACAAAATCGACTACTATAACAGTTAAAACGTGCGATTAGAATGTTTTTTATCATTGACTTTAAATGGGAGTGTGTCCTAACTTTATAAAATCTGATGACGTATTTTGAAACTTGTATCTGTTGTAGGGGATTGCTCCCGATTTTGTCATGCTATAGACGAGATTTTTGGATTGGAATTGTTTTGCTTGTACGGATTTTAGCATTGACTTGCACTATACCAATTTTCAGTCATACGTCCGTAGATCTTGCAATTCCACTAAAACTAGGTATTTATGACGACCGCTGACATCTGACAGAAATTGGAATGAATAGGTTCCTGTACACATAAACTATTTATTAGAACACATCTGTCGTCTTGTTCACGGTTTGCGTTTCGAAACTGTTTAATAGCTACCCTCAACATTTTCGAAATGGTACATAGTCTAAGCGTATGTACACATAGCTTGTACGTAGAATGAAATTTTTGCCAAACACTTGTCTCTTCAACGCTTTAAATCTTTAAAACTTATAAAATTGTATGATACTTAACATGCCAAAGTACACATTATGAAACTGTGCCAACGACGATCGTAACAATATAATGAAAGTAACAACTAATAAACTTTTAAAGTTCGTTTTTGATCTCTAAAACTGGAGAATCTAGGTATTTTGCACACCCATATTCTGAATGGAATAATATTGTCAAGGCATGGAATAACTTACTTTTATATATTTCGTCAATCATGCATGAAATAAATTTTAACTCCTTCAACTTTATGAAATTGTAAACGAACCAGTTGTAGGAATTAAATTCAGAAATGATACACAGAAGTGTATCCTCTGCCGATTCAACTATTTAACGACATTGACATTAAGCATTAAATAGCACGAAAAAGAGATTTTGAGTTTGATACTGTTGCTATAAGAAATCACAATACTCACATTTTTAATAGCAACTTGTTGAAAAAGAGATTTTGAAAGTGATACAATGCTCACATTGTCTCTGAATGGTGTATAAAAGATTAATATTTGCGTTGATATTAACCCTCATGAAAATATTTGTGATATGTTTATATTATGTTATAAAAACAGTCGATATTGTGTTGGAAGACAGCGTGTTAATATTGGTTTTGACAATTATTTTGGACATCATTTCTCTCGCTTCACCAGACTCCATCAGATTGTAACATCGACTATAGAATCATCTTCACAATGTCAAGGTATTACGAACTGCGTCTTATACCTTGACATTATTAGTCACCTTATCATTGAAGTTTTTTAATTCAGCGATTTGAATGGGTTGTATGCTAGCGAATATAGGCTAGCTTAATAGAGATCCCGCCCTAAAGCCTGTAATGAATACGCCATAATGTTTACATACTTTCTTTCGAGGGCTCTGATTGGCTGTATTCGCTAGCGTAGGCTTTAATCCAATCAAATCTTGTATTTACAAACCTCAGTGATGTAAGAAAAGTGGCTATTGATGTCAAGGTATTAGACACAGTTCGTAATAGCTTGACATTGTGAAGATGCTGGCAAATATCGGTCTGTATTATCACAGACAGACAATAAAATATGTAGGATATTCGAAATGAAATAGATTTTCACACATACTCCGTCACGTTGTTCTTCATTAGATCAATCCTTGCCAAAGGAAATCTGATTTAAGATCTAGATCTCCGGCTCCAACCTTGGGTAACTAGGGCGAGGCGGTACATGTAAGTAC